TAAAAAGAAACTGAGAAACACTGGAACAAACTGGTGAGTGATGCCTATTTCCTTTATCCCCAAGGACTTGAGACAGCCATTGTGCTTATCATGTTTTTAAAGGAAAAAAAACACCACTTTTCAGACCCTTTCAGGCCAGTCAGGGGTACTGGAAAAAGGTGAGGAGCTGGTAACAAGGGGGATGAGCTTTGGTGGACATGGAATAAAGTGTGGAAATGAAGGAGCAGAGGAATGTGTGCTTGTGGGAGAGCTGAGCAGATGGGAAAACCTTCTTAATGCTGGAGAAGGGTAAGTCAAAGAAAAGGAAAGTACTAACTAATCTCATCAATGCTTTGAAGAGTCCAACTCAACATTTTCTCCGTTGCTTTTCAAAAAAACCACAGGAAATAAGAACTGCTTGTGCATCACCTTCAGATGAATCACTTTGCCAGTTGGAGTGGGGCTTATAGGAGACAACAAATTACCAAAAGAGGGGATGTATAGATTTTTGGAAAAAAATGATGGATTCCCTCCCTGGTTCTTTGCTTCCTCCCGTCTTTACTGGTTTTATTCTTATTTTTAAAATATATTTTAACTTTCTCTTTGTACTATAAAACTCTCTATGCCAGGAATATTAATGGGTAGGAAAAAATATGAAAAAATTATCTCCCTCCTTTTCTTTGTTCATTTTTAGTGTATTGCATTTTTATATGTTCCCCAAGTCCATAAATTTCCCTGATCACTGCATGAAAAATTATCAAAGGCAATAAAAATTAAAGGAAACAGCACTTTTTGATTTTCATAAAAATACCCCACATAAATAAAAAAGTGGAACAAACCCTTAAAATATCTGCCCAGCCAGACTCTTTTGCATTTTTTCCCACCAGCACCAGCTGTTTTCTGCATACCAGCAGAAGGGACATATTTGCAGATTCAGTTTATGGGAGCTTTGTTTATGCACTGGGTGAGTATTAACCACTAATTTTAATTAATGTGGGTAAAGCAAGTTCAAAGAAGACAGAAAGTTTGTAAATCTTGCAAGAGCACTAAGTCTGGCTGTGCTTTTAGATGCAGAAAATGTGCTGCACGGAATTTGCCATCTTAACATTTTTCCTGAGGTTTACACACTAATCCTTTCTCCATCACAGGGAACCTCCAGACTTCGTGGATCTTTAAGGCTTTTGGAACAGGCAGACACGGTGCTCCTGTAGTGAAAGTGAGGAGCCAAACCTCAGCACTGGCTCAGGAGCCTCTCACAGAACTGGCATCACAGTTTTGCAGCAAAACGAAAGGACCTGCAGGGCTTTTCCTGTGTTCAGTCTTGAGCCTGAAGTTTAGTAAATCTCTTGGGAGGGTTGGTCAAAGATTCAGGATGAATGACAGCAAAATTCCCCAGAGGGAGGATGGTTGAGCACCAGATTAATTCCAGGCTTTTCAACACTGGATTCTCCACACATTTTCCCAAGTGCAAGTTCAACACTTTGGGGATAAGGAGACAGATTCAGTTCAGTCCCTTTGTGGCTGATGCTGTGTAGCTACAAGATTTAATTCCTTGGAGCAGTTTAATAGGCAAATTACTCATTTGAGATCCAGAATTCAAAATAGAAAATTGCAGGTGGAATGTTATCAGGCTCCTTTCCAACCTGTTTCTGCTCCTTCTTGAAAGGCCACTGGCTCAGTCAGGTCACCCCCAGGGCTGGTTTAGAGCTACATCCTTTCAAGCATCACCCAAATAACAGGATCGTGAGCTGAGTAAACACTGTCCTGAGAAAGGGTTGGGTGAGGGGAGTTGGGTTTGTCTCATGGGCCCCCTGGAGTGTTTTCAAGACTCAACAGAAAGCCAGGAAATGGAAATAGCAGCCACTGCTCTAAACTGTGTGGCCAAAGCTGTTCAGGCTCATTGCCCAAGGGTCACACACCAGCTTCCAGTTAATCTCTGGGAATTCTGGGGAATCCTTACAGATACTTCTCTTAACCTGCGTGATCTGCTAAAAGTCTAAAAATTATGAACTGAAGTGAAAGGTGGATGGAGGGCTGAAGAGAATTGTGTGATTTTACAGTCAGGTTCCAGACTGTGGAATACAAATTAGAGCTTCTGCCCTATTCCTGCCCCTGTTCCAGCAGGGAATACCCACACCCAGCGCTCGGGAAGCCACGCACGCAGCTCAGACACGCAGAGACAGGAACCCAAACCCAGCTAAGTAACCAAGAGTAAGCTGAGCTAATGAGTTTAATGAGCTCATACAAAGCAGCTCCATCAGAGAGTCTCGCTTTGATGCCAATTCCCCCGTGCAAGGACTCCTTTCATGTCCCAGGCTACTGTTTAAACCACTGCACCAATCTGCCAGCCCCTGTTAATTTACATCTGTTATTAATGAAGGAGGAAGCATGTGGAGCTGGTGGCAATAAGAAGAATATTTGGCTTATTTCATCCTGCCATAGTTTTTTCCTCAAGATTTGTCTCATTGAGAGGAGACAACAGGGAGGGAAATAAATATCATGAAGTCCTTTCTGGAGCTGGGCACTCCTCTGCTGCAAAGAGCAGCAGTGTTTTGAACCTGTACATTGAGTTTACTCTTCTATATTGTAAAGTACCTTACAGTGATCTATAAATCTTTTTTGTGGCCACAAGTCTGCATACTGGTTTCTTTGACAACTTAAATACACAGCTCATGTCTCCTTTATGAAAGATCCTATGAGTTTTTGATAAAAACTTCAGAAAAAGCATCTGTGAGACCACTGTTAATCAAATTAGAGCCCTTGAAATATTACTTTCTAACATTCAACATTTTAAAGGAGTTTAATAAACTGTATTTTATCAAACTCCACTGTATGTATGTTTTTCAAAGGATTTTAGAGAGACTATCTCACCATTTTTGTTTCCCAAGCCCCAGATAATGTGAGAAGAAAACACACCAAATTTCTCAGGAATCATCCCACAGCTAATTCCAAACCAATATTTTCTATTAAAGTGGTGGTCTAGAGGTTTTACGGTTGCTCTGTGCAATTTTTACAGGCAGAGTGTTGATAGCACACAGAGGAAGGGAATATATCTAGGAGATGAAGCAACACAGTAGAAGATTTAGGGTTTAAATACATGGACTATCCCTAAGATCCTGTTCCTAAATTCAGGTATTTCCTACTGTGTCTAATCCAACTCATCTGTTAAAATTGTTAAACAATGTAAATAACTTGCTGTAATTTTAAAATAAACATAAACACTGAGCTTTTTTCTCCTCCCTGCCCACAATGAACCAGCAGCAATTCTTTTATTTCAGTCCTGTAGAAATATTTACCGATAGTTCTGATTAAAGCACTGCACAGTATTAAACTGCCTGTTTAGTATTTTAACACTGTGACTTGCAGAGGAAACTATCTGGGATAGGGATAGAGGGGTATTTAGAGGCTTTATAATTAATACAATGAGGTCTCAAATCTGAATGAGACTTCTCAGTGCTCCTACAGCCAAGGCAATAAATTATGATTCTACATGATTTCTACCACACAATCCATCAGGAGGGTGAGCAGTATTGGCCTTCATGCTCATTTGCTGACGAGGCTTCCTTTTGGAAGGGAAACGGAGCCCCAAGGAGGGCTGGCATTGATGCACCTGGTTGTCCTGGACCCCCATAAGGACATGGGGTGTGTGTGTTGTTTGTGTTGTGTTCATACCACCACCAGCTCCAACCATGGCACTGAGGAGGTGTCCTTGCCCTGTGCTGCCCCCCTGCATAGACTGGCATTTCATCCCTTCCCAGACCAAACACATCCACCTCAAGCAATAAAAAGTTTATTTCTTAAGCACCGTAACGTTCACACAAACGAAACCCTGGTGCTTCCAGGAGTTTTTTTGGTATCCCCAGGCACACCTCCTTGTGTGCCCAGGCTGCACAGCCTGGTGTGGTCACACAGCCAGCCATTCACTGAATCCCGGGATGGCTGGGGTTGGAGATCATCTGGTCCAAACCCCTGCCAAGGCAGGGTCACCTGGAGCAGATGACTCAGGAATGTCTCCAGGTGCATTTGGGATGTCTCCAGAGAGGGACACTCCACACCTTCCCTGTTCCAGTGTTCTGCCACCCTCACGGGTGTTCTTCCTCATGTTGAGGTGGAACTTGTTGTCTTTTAGTTTATGGCCACTGCTCCTCACCCTGTTGCTGGGCACCACCGGCAAGGGCCTGGCACCATCCCCTGACACACATTTGTATGTATTGCAGACTCCTTCCCTCCCCTTGGACACTCGGGGATCACCTCCCTGGCGCGTCCCTCGAGGAGGGATGGCAGAGGGTGTAGATGGGGGGTGTCCCGGTGTGGGCAGTGCGGTCAGTGGGGTGTGGGCAGTGCGGTCAGTGTGGTGGGGGCAGTGCTGTGGGGCGGTGTGGGCAGTGTGGGCAGTGGGATGTGGGCAGTGCGGTCAGTGTGGTGTGGGCAGTGGTCAGTGTGGTGTGGGCAGTGTGGGCAGTGTGGTGTGGGCAGTGTGGGCAGGGCAGTCAGGTTGGTGTGGGCAGTGCTGTGGGGCGGTGTGGGCAGTGTGGTGTGGGCAGTGTGGTCAGTGGGGTGTGGGCAGTGTGGTGTGGGCAGTGCTGTGGGGTGGTGTGGGCAGTGTGGTCAGTGTGGTGTGGGCAGTGGTCAGTGTGGTGTGGGCAGTGTGGGCAGTGTGGTCAGTGGGGTGTGGGCAGTGTGGTGTGGTCAGTGTGGTGCGGGCAGTGCAGTCAGTGTGGTGTGGGCAGTGTGGGCAGTGGGGTGTGGGCAGTGCGGTCAGTGTGGTGTGGTCAGTGTGGTGTGGGCAGTGGTCAGTTCGGTGTGGGCAGTGCGGGTGGTGCGGTGAGGCCGGTGCGGGCAGTGCTGTCGGGGCCGGCTCTGAGAGCAGTGGGCTCGGTGCCGGCTGTGTCCCTGCCCCGTCCCCTGCCGGTGCCGGCTGTGCCCCGCTCGGTCGCCGCCCGTGCCTGCCCGGTGGCTGCCGGGGCCGCGCTCGGTGCGCGCCCCCCCTGCGGGCGGCGGGGGCGGGCGCGGCCGGGCCGCGCTGATCGCAGCGCGCCATTGGCCGCTGTCTGCGCGCACGTCACGATCATGATGAGAATTAATGATCGGGGCCGCTGATTTCATTGTGTGACGCCGGGACCGACCCAGCCGAGCCCGTCCGAGCCCGGAGCCCCCGCGCCGGCCCCGCGCTGCACGGTAAGCGCGGGCAGGAGGAAGGCGATGCCGCTGGTGGTGGTGATGATGGTTACGATGATGATGATGATGGTGATGATGATGATGATGATGCCGATCCCCGGCCCGGCTGGGGGAAGGGGGTGGCCGCGCGGGCTCGCGCGCGGACCCGCCCGGCGCGCGCAGGCGCCGCTGAGCCCTCCCCCCACGGCGGGGGCGCGCCGGGCACGCGCCGGGAGCCGCCGCCGCCGCGAGACTGCGCATGCGCGTGCGCCCGCGCGCTCCGGCGGAGCGGCCGGTGCGCGTGCGCCGGGCGGGGTCTCAGTGCGCGTGCGCGCCGGGCCGGCTGGCAGCGCTGCGGGTCCCGCCTCGAAACGCTGGGCTCGGCCCGAGGGCCCTCAGCGCCCTCAGAGTCACAGTCACAGTTACACAGTCACAGTCACGGAGTCACAGTCACACAATCACAGAGTCAGACGGGTCGGAAAGGACCTCTGAGATCATCACGTCCAACCCTTGATCCACTGCCCCCGCAGTTACCAGACTATGGCACTCAGTGTCTCATCCTGTCCCTTCTTAAACACCTCCAGGGGTGGGGACTCCACCCCCTGCCTGGGCAGCCCCTTCCAATGTCTGACAGCCCTTCCTGTGGAGTTCTTCCTGAGCCTCCCGTGGCACAGCTCGTCACTCGTTGCCTCAGTCCCCGGTGCCTTAGCCCGTCAGCCCTCGCTGTCCCCGCTGCTCCAGCTCCCTGCTGGCCCTTCCCCGCACCCTGGGTCCTGCTCACCCCACATCACTGCCGGCACCCCCCAGGCAGGGATGGTTCCCCTGCATGCCCTGGGGGTGGCTGGGGAGGGGAAGGACAGCCATCACTGTTGCCTCTGGGTGTGAGGCTGGGGGGCCACAGTGATGGACAGGCAGGGGATGGCCGAGTGGCCACCAGACCTCCCAGATCTTGTTCCCTCTGAGGCCCTTTTGTATTTCTCCAAGGGGTGCCAAGAGGATGGTGCCAGGCTCTTCTCGGTGGTGCCCAACAACGGGACAAGGAGCAATGGCTGAAAACTAAAACACAACAAGTTCCACCTCAACAAGAGGAAGAACTTCTTTATGTTGAGGGTGGCAGAGCACTGGAACAGCTGCCCAGGGAGGGGATGGAGTCTCCTTCTCTGGAGACATTCCAAACCCACCTGGACACGTTCCTGTGCCACCTGTGCCAGGTGACCTGCCTGAGCAGGGGGGTTGAACTGAATGATCTCCAGAGGTCCCTACCAGCTCCAGCTGTTCTGTGATTCCACCCCTCAAATGCATATGTGGCTGCCCCATCCCTGGAAATGTCCAAGGCCAGGTTGGACGGGGCTTGGAGCAACCTGGTCTAGTGGAAGGTGTCCCTGCCCAGGGCAGGGGGTGGAAGGAGATGGACTTTAAGGTCCTTTCCAACCCAAACCATTCTGGGATTCCATGTACCTGCTGTGGTGCCAGGCACAGCCTGTGCTGTGAAACAGGGGGGCCTTGTGCTGCCAAACTTTACTCCTCAGGTGTTTGGGGATGAGGGGGGAGAAGTTGACTGTGCTGTTCTGGAGGGGTGATGGTGCCCTGGAAGTGCTTGTGTAGCATTTTCCTGCCCCAGGCAATCCCTAACTCTGTCTCCTGCCTTCCCTTTTTTCCTGGCAGAGGTCTGACAAACACGTCCATGCTTTATTTAAAACATGTGGTTAATCCAGCTGCAGTCAGGAGTCTCATTTACATCAGTAAAGTGGGATGGGGATGCCTAAACCTGTGGAGTTGTGGTCACGGGTTATTATGTTATTAAGTTACTGAGGGCTGTCTAATTTGTCCCTAATAAAGGGCTGCATTTTATAGGTAGGACTGTAATACAATCCTACAAACACTGTACTTAGTGGAGAGGGAAGCAATTATGCTGCGAGTCACGGATATTTGGAAGTAGTTTTACAAGCTGGGCTGTGCATTACACTTACCCTGCCCTGGGAGTGTGTGCTTGTAACTGGTTTGGCCTGTGTAGGAAAGAGGCACCAACCTACAAATTCAGATTATTAAACGCTGTTGCGTGATGTGCATCCATCTCCACACATCACAGGGTGGGTTGGTTGGTTGTTTTCTTTCCACTGGGGATGTACAAGACATGGTGAGTTTTTGGCAGCCATGGAAAGTGAATGAGGTTCCTAAAGCTGGAGGAAAAGTGTCACTACTGCAGTCTTGTTTTATTTATGTCTAGAGTACATTTCTTATCAGAGTTCCAATTTGGTCTCATATTTATATTGGCACTGAGACTTGTTGGTTTTTACCACAGGAGATCTGTGGAGGGAACAGAAAAGAAGATAAATTGAGGAGTGTGCTGATTTTCTTGTTATACCTGTTATGGATGAACAGACTAAAACAGAAATAGGCTTTGCAAGCCTATTTTTTATAAATAAATACTTGTTTGGTTCTGAAGTTAAAAAGAAAATTCTCAGAAACTGCTTGTTCCCTTTTATCCCTGTATTAATCCCTGACAGTTTTATTATGTTTTATACCATGAAGATTTTATACTTAGTAACTTTGTGGTGGCTTGTACTCTGAATGAATTATTTATTATTTATTTCACATCCCAGGTTATTTTTTGTTGCTATTTGAAATTATATTAGTTGGAATTTTTATTTCCTATTTTCAAATTGAATACAATTAATGTAGTGATGTAGAGATTTACTTTGTAAATGTTTACTTCTTTCAGCAGTCTTAATATTTAGAGGCTTTTGGACACTAAGATTATACTGCTGTACTCATAGGCAGACTTTTTTTTCCTTCTTATGCTGCTACTTTTTTATTTTTGTCCCTTTTTTTGCCCCCAGATTTTTCAAGTCGTTCCAGAACACCTAAGTAACTCTTGAATTATTTGATTACATGAGTATTCCTGTTTTCTTTTAGTTGTTCTTTCGTCTTACTCCTTGACATCAAGTTGTTTCCATGAGTTGCTAAAAATGTATGACCTGGCTTGACCAGGTCTCCCTGGAGAGATTCCTAATTTCTGGCTGTTGAATGACGTAACTGGGCTGGAAGGACTGGGCATTTGCAGCAACCCCAGTGGGACAATGCCCTGAGTTCCTGTTCCGTGAAGGAAACGTTCAGCTGCTTCAGGAGCAAACTCTGCTTTAGGTCTCCATGTTCTCCTCTCTCCACTCCTGCTCGCTCTTCCCACAGGAGGGAAGGAGGGGGGATGCTGTGAAAAAGTTGCTTGAACAGCTTAAGAAGCCTAAAAAAGTTCAGCTGTAAGAACAGCCTTAAGGTCACCTGACAAGGAGCTGCTGTGATGGTCACAGGGTGTCTGTGGAACTGTCCTTGGGACAAACTGAAGGGCACGGAGTTCCCATCTTTGTCCTTGTTGCTTGTCAGTCTGGGATCTCACACGTCACAGTCCCTGACTCAGCACTGGGGCCACGTTTACATCTCCTAAACCACTGCAGATGTCAGAGGGATCTTACTATGGGAAGGTTTTCAATTAGTATCCAGTTTAGAAAGGAAGTGAAGAACATCTTTATACTGTTGGGCTCCTGGTAGGCTGAGGAGTGGGAGAGCCCCAAAGTGAAAAGTTACGTGTTGTTAGTTGGCCTGGGACACAGAGCAGGAGTGAAGGTGCCTTTTCATTTGTCACAGGTTATTCTCTGCACTGTCAAGACTGTGAAACACTTGGCCAAGGCTAGAACAGGCAGATGTTGAATCCTAAGTACTGCTTTGCCACTTTTGTCTTTTATTGAAGTGAAAATGCAGCTTATATTCATGGAATTTGTTTGCATAATGTTTTGCCTGATTTTTATTAAATTTCACGGAGTTCTTTTCTGTAACAAACTCTCTTTTCAGTGCCAATGTGTTGCCAACCAGCTGGACACCCGGCTTCCCCAAAGCTCACATGCATGTTTGCTAAGCTTGGCAAGTCAAGATCAAAATGAAATTATGATAAAAATCCATGTGGATTTCTAACTTGGAGTCTGAGGTTCAAGACAAAGGTGAGAAATCCTGAGGAGGCTGGAGTGCTCCCTAGGTGCACAAACTGGGAAAAGGAGTTTATTTCCTTAGAAGTTACTGAGGTTGTTATGAATAATGTCTGTGATGAAGGAGTGTGACCTGCTGATTCCCTTGGTACTGATGTGACTGCCTTAATGTTCAATAATTTTAGCACTTTGTAAGTGATTTTCCATGTTGGAGAAAATGTAAGCCTTAATATCTTGTTCTAACTACGAAATCTGATGCGAAATAGGTAATACTTCCAAAAAAAACCAACCAGTGTAATCCTTTGATGCACATACCCTGTATTAATTTGTCTCAGAGACAGTAACATTATGTTCTTACAGATGTTTGAGTTCTCAATGTAGGTCAGATCCCAGGTGTGAGCAGAACTTGTTGCCTGTGAAGGTGGCACGTGCAGAGGCAGCTCTTCAAGGATTCACTTTGGACTTCATGGGGTTCTGATGGAGCTTCCAAACATCCAGGAATTGGTTTATTCAATGCAGGGTGCTGTTACAGATATTCAAAATAGAACTGTCTATTGATTTAGGATTCAGTAGATCTAAGACACAAAATGCTTTAATAAATTCTCACCTGCTTATTTGAAGGTTTAAATGTTGGAATGTAAACTCAGGTTATGACTCAGCTGCCGTAACTCCGCGTCTGTAGGATCCTGTAACCTAGTTATTTAAATCCCTTTCTGATGGCCTCTCACAGATCCCCTGAGGTGGACTCAGCTGGCTTCAAGGCAGAGGTTACTCAGGAATCTTCCCAGTTGGCAGGTGTAGCTCACAAGTGATTAAAATACACTGCAAAAATGCGTTATTAAACCAGACCGTGACCTCTCTGGAGCTTAGCTGGGCCAAGCCTGTCAGACAGTTTATCTGAAGTTCAAGTGATTTAATCAAAATGCTCCACCCTGTCTTTATCTAAATTACAGATGTCAAATGCAACAATGAAAGTGTTTTAACACAGAAGTGACCTTGGATACAGAAACCCTCATAATTAAAAGCGCGTCAAGGACCTGTCACGCGTCTTCCCTGCAGGTCATCAGGTCTGACTCTGAAAATTTATCTTGCAGTGGGGAGAGTCTTTCACTGCAGTTGATGAACTATTTGGAGAGCATGATATGATGAGCCTGTGGATGGAAGAAGTGTTGAGCTTTGGGATGGCACAGCTGGATCTGGAAACATGGAAGGTTCAGAACCATTTCTGATGAGGTCGTTTGTGGGAACTGAGCTCCACTAAATAGAACAGGACCTCTGGTACTGAAAGAGGAGTAGACAATGGAAGCTGGGTCCTGCCAATTGTGCAAGAACCACAAAACTGCCTCTTGTGTGTCCTTTAGAAGGGACATAAATCAGTCAGTGGCCACATCACTGTGTGTATCCACATGGGAAATCTGAAGCCAGTTCCCAACATTATAAAGTAGATTATTATGAACTTTATTGATTTGTTAATGGACTAATAATTGTCTCCTCCGTTACTTGCTATAAATTTCGTTAAACAGTAGATTTTTCAGAGCCAGAGTCTCCTTTGCCCAGCTCTGGCTGTGACTGAATACCTGTTCTGGGGGAGGCAGAACTCAGGCAAAGCCTGATTTGTCATGTGGCTGGTGCTGCTGCATTTAATGATGCACTGCGTTGAGAGGGTGAATAGGAGTTGGGAACAGAGGTAAAAGATATGATTGAATCATCTTCTGCTTTAACTATTATTTTAAAAACCCAGTAATTTTTACAAATTGATTTTTCTATTGTCTGTTGACATAGAGAGGAAAGTAAACTCTGAAGTCAAAGCTCTGGCCTACAAGCATTTTACTCCAAATTCTAGATATTAATCCTTTTCTTTATACAGGCCTGTTGAACTCTAACATCCATTACCATTACATAGTGTAATCATCTTGGAGAATAATATGAAAGCAGTTGGGTGTCTGCTCAAGCTTTTGAGCCCTTAATAATTTTATTTGCTCTATATCAGAAAGTAGTTCTTGTGCAAAAAAAGCTCCTTTCCATGCAAAGTTTTCAAAAAAAGCTTAGTGGCTGCAAAAGGTTCCCTCATCCCCTTTATTTCCCTACAGGACGATGGTGAGGTTTCTTATTCTTTAGTTTGTTCTGCATTATTATGATACGTGTGCTGTATTAAAGTGACAGTTTTGCTTCCCGAGGCACAAGGTTGGATGCAAGTTGTTCCTGGCCAGCATTTGCTGTGTCTTGTTTGGGACAAATAAAGGCCCTGCTCTGGAAATGGTTGATGATTGGGATCCTCTTTCTGATCTCTAACCACAGGGTTATATTTTTTGCCAGTACCAAGAACAGAAGGGTCCAGTGTGCCCTCAGGCGTCTGCTCTGCACTTGGTCATGCTCAGCTGTGTGCTTTACCAAGCCAGGGGGAGAATTGTCACGTGGAACAAAGCCATGTGTGGTTTGGTGTGTCCATCAAACTGCCCCCCCTGTCCTGGGCCACCTCCTGTCCCCAGGGACACTGAGATTCTTGGGGGGACCCAGTGCTGGGAATGGGACTGAGGAGTTGCTGCTGGCCCTGGGTCTGATCCTGGTTGAGTTCCTCAGCATCACTGTGGACAAACCAAGGAGCAGGAACACATCCTGAGGTCCTGCCATCAGCATTGGCTCATCTCCCTGGAAAACAACCATTATATGTTCTCAAAAATGCTGATTTCCAGCCTTAGGGTGCAGTTCCCCAGGAGCTGGACCTTTCCCAGCCCAGGCTGTGACTCGGGTGGTCCCTGCTCTGTGATGCTGCAGGATTTGCATTGGGTGGCTCCAGAGCTGCCTAAAGCCCTTCCTGGGGGTTGTTTGCCCCAAGTTGGTCTCCAGTTCTTGATCTTTGTGACTTTGCAGCTGGAGGTGCTGGTGCTGACCCAGCAGAAGGACCAGCCATCACAGAGTGTAGGATTTGATGAAGCTAGAGACGGTGGAAATTTTACCCATGTCAAACAGTCACCTTTATTTTATCTTGGATTTTATCTCTTTTTTTGGTATGTGAGGAGAAACCTGCTGATATTGGAGCTGCTCATGTTACTCTGCTTTGCCTAATGCCTTTATTTTATTTTTTTAAGGGAGAAACTTTTTCTTTGAAACTAGAGTTTCATGGACTTAACACAATGTAATATTTATTTATTTATGAAAAGCTGTCATTGTTGTTGCAGACTTGTAATTCACCTGCTCAGCTTGAGTCTGTCACAAAGGAATCACTAATGCTGACTGTAACAGGTTTGGGTTTTTTTGAAAGTAAGTCAAAGCATTGGTAAAAGACTCTGTGGAGAAAACATGTCAACCCTTAGTGTTATCTCAGGTATAAATGAGAGTTTGTGTATTCTGCAAGTATTACAGTTTTTATTCCAACTTTCAGAGCATCTTCTTTTATTTCCAGATGAATCTGCGCTCTGTATTTACTGTAGAACAACAAAGGATATTGCAGCGTTATTATGAAAATGGAATGACAAATCAAAGTAAAAATTGCTTTCAGCTCATATTACAGTGTGCACAAGAAACAAAACTGGACTTCAGTGTGGTCAGGGTGAGTACTGAGGCCTTCCAAATTTGCTTGTTAAACTTGTACACATTTATTGCTTTACATAAAATATTTAGAGGTGTGGAGTCTCTTAACTCCATCATTGCCTCAATCAGGCTTCAGTGTGTGTATGTGACATGTTCATTTTTATAGTTTGTTTCCACTGAATGTCCTCACGTGATTGTTGTATTTAGGAGGGGCCTGGGTTGCACAAGGAGTAATTTTTGTTTGTCTTTTGTTGGGATTTTTTAAATTAGTCTTTAATAAATTACAAATCAGTTTGCCCTGTAGGAACTTTGTGCAGTGTATTGTATGAGAGCAGGAAGCGAGGTCATGTTATTAAGAAACTGTTGTTAAGCTGAAGAAGTTTCTCTAACCTGATGTATTTGGGGGAATAATTGTGAAACTATTTCTTTCTCTGTCACACTTGTATTCCACATCACAATCATAAGTATTGTGGTCCCTCATGGCTATTTACAGTGAGGACGTTCTTTTCTTGTAAAACAGGAATGTCACCAGTGCTAACAGGAGCTCTTCCAAAGTCTATGAATTCCACAGGAAGGGAAATAATAATCCCTTTGTGAAACACTAGACAACAAAATGGCTCTTGGCCGAGAGCAGAAATAGAAATCATGCAGCATTAGCTGAAAAAATAACAAGGGCAGTGCAGCTCCCAGGAGCTGCTGCAACACTGGACACTGAGGAGGAAGAAGGGAGACCAGTCTGGTTTGTTTTTAATTGGTTTACCAGTGATACACTGACAACAACCACCCTTCCTGCTCCCGGATTATTACCTGGATTCCCCTCCCTCCCAACAGTCTGGAAACTTGGTGGTGGGAAGCTGTGAAAGTCAGCCAGGGATTGAGGCTCCTGGAACAGGCAGGCAGTTGTAACAGGAATCTGGATGCTGGTGGTGCACTCAGGGCCTGCTCTGCTATTTTTGTGCTGATTGAATGTCCTGGAGGAGGCAGCCAGTCTCTCCTCTCCGGGCAGTCCTCCTTCACTCTCCTGATTTCCTTTCCCTCTCAGTTTCCCTTCCTGCAGTAAAGTAGCAGGGCCTTTTTCCTTCAGTTTTATTCCCTCCCTGATTTGCAACCCTTAGAACTTGTGAAGGGTTTTTTTCCCACTTGTGAAGTGCAATCGAAACAGACCCCATGTTTGTCCTGCATTTGTCATATTTTTGCATGATCTTACCTTTCTCTTCTTTACATGCTCCTTTCTTCCTCTCTTAATTCCCCCTTTTTTTCTTTTTTTCTTTTTTTTTTTTTCCTACAAAACCCTTGGTCAGTGACTGGTTCTCCTTTGTACAACATCCAGCAAAATGATACTTGGGTTCCAGCTGGCACTTGCAGATATGATTGTAATAGGAACATGAATTCCCTAAATGCAACTTAGGCTTCAAATACCATAACTCCACGAATGCATTCTTTCCCAGAATCAGGATTTCTGTAGTCTCATCCCATAGAACTGCATCCAGTCTTTCCAATCTTGAGCCGAGTTGGAAAAGAAAAAAAAACCCTCCTATTTTCCTGTTTATGTATTTTCCTATTTTCCTGTTTGATGTAAGCCTCTACAGATCTTCTTACTGCAATACATGAAATATATTCTCCCTTGCAAAATTAGGAGATTTGAAGAGTGTTTGCAATCTTGCCAGTCTCCCAGATGGCAAATGCTTTTTCTCCTCTCTTCCTTCTTGTGTTCATCATCTCTTTATTAAGTCTCAGAGTAACCCAGGTAATTTTGCTAACCTCACCCAGGCATTTGTTCTTTTTTTTTTGTTTTGCCAATTCAGTTTTAAGCCTTTGGGGGGAGTTCAGGTGGGTGTTTGGATAAACGATGGGATTAAGAACTGGGGACATGGTCAGGAGGACTCTCAGCGGAGTCAAATCTGACTTATGCTGTCTCATGAAACTGTATTTTAATAGTAGTGCTAGTAAGCTAGTGATGCTAGATGGCTCTGCAATCCAAGGTGCTGAACACTAAAAACTTAAATTTGGGGGGATTAGTCACAGTGGTGTCAATGAAATACATCTTGAAGGTAATTTTGGCAGAGGAGGCATGATACGGTATCAGGACTTTTGAGAAACTGGGGCTTTGGAATTGAGACTGGGCTTCTCCTGTTATTAGTGTGTGGATCCCAAGCAGGAGGGGCCTGGTTTTCCACCCTGCATTGTTCAGACTCTGCATAATGAGTAGATGATTTACACGTTTGTCAACTTAGGTCACAACTTCAACACTTAACATTTCACCAGACCTGCTTCAAAATGGAATTGCCTGATTTTTGTGAGTCTTTAATGCCTGGTTTTGTGTTTGCTGTTGTTGTTTGCAGACGTGGGTTGGCAATAAGAGGAGGAAGATGAGCAGCAAGAGCGCGGTGGAATCCGGAGGGACCCCCCCGGGGACGGCCCCTGCCACTCCCTCGGTGCCCCCAGAAGCGGCCGTTCGGAACGTGGTCAACATTGCCCGATCCCACAGCCAGCAATCCTCCTGGAGCTCCTCGAATAATGACGTGATAGTGACTGGGATTTACAGCCCTGCCAGCTCCTCGGGCAGGCAGGGCTCCACCAAACACACCAACGCTTCCGTGGCCGAGATGCACAAAACCTCCATCCCGAGGCTCCCAGGGAAAGGCAGCGCAGAGTTCCAGCAGCAGCACATCCCTCTAGGACGACAAGTGCCACACTGTAAAAATGCTTCCCTATTGGTAGGGGAAAAGACCATTATTTTATCCAGGCAGACGAGTGTGGTCAATTCTGCAAACTCCATTTACAGCCACACGAAGAAAAGCTACGGCGGCTCCTCGGTGCAGACGGCGGAGCTGGTGTTACCTCAGAAACCCATGATATGCCACAGGCCCTGCAAGGCTGAGCCCGTGGGCTGTCACAGGTTACATAAACCGGAGCACGTGGCTCTGGCATCGCACGTGCCCCACGGGCAGAGGGCTCACCCCAGGGACCCTGCCTGCAGCACCCAGAACCTGGAGATCCGCGAGGTGTTCTCCCTGGCGGTGACGGACCAGCCGCAGAGGATGGTGGCGGGAAGCACAACGCAGAAACATTCCTCTCTGGAGGGCAGCTGCCTGTCCATCGCCATGGAGACGGGGGACGTGGAGGACGAGTACGCCAGGGAGGAGGAGCTGGCATCCATGGGAGCACAAATCCAGAGCTACTCCAGATACTGTGAGAGCAGCAGCTCTGCCCGCGTGGAGAACCAAAGCGCAGCCGTGCCGGGGCCGGGCCGCAGCGGGGGCTGTGGGGCACAGGGGGGCAGTGCCAGGGACCTGCCTGACGGTGTCCTCTACCACAGCAGAGATTACCACCTGCCTGCACGGACCTCACTGCACACCACAGCCAGCACAATGTACAGCAGTGCTCATGCAGCCAGGAGTACCTTTTCTCCTCATTTCACATCTTCAAGTCAACTGAGGCTGTCACAAAACCAAAATAATTACCAGGTAATCCGTCAGTTTATCTCTGCCTTCAAACCTTGAAGCCAAGGTTGTAGATAAATACTGTGTATAAATATAATGTAGATAAATGTTGTCTCTCAAAGCTGGTAACTGCTAAGAAATAGGTTCACTTTTCTGCAGGCTTTTACTCCTTTCAGTGGAGATTGTTCCTTCTTAAACACAGTGCAGGCAGCACTGCAGGGTGGTGCCACTCTTACCCGTCCAGCTGAGCCCCTGGTAGCTGTATATTGAAGATCAGTGAGGGTTTCATCAATTCAACAGCTCAGTTTTGGCTGCAGGAGGGTCATAGCCCACGAGCTGATGCTCACACCTGTGCTGCCCTGACCCAGCAGTACCCTGGGCTGTTCTCTGTGCACGTCACGTGTGGCACAAGAACATGGGATGGTGCTGACATCGGTGTGCTCTGCAGTTGCTCACCCTCACTGATGTCAGCGTGGATTCCTGTACCCCCTGTGCAGGTGCCAGTCTCCTGGAGCTGTGTCTGTGAGGGATTAAGATCTCCCGTGAAGAGTTAACACGATGGGACACACTCAGGGAGCAAATACTCATCCTTCCCCACAGCATCTAATTCAAATACCAGTTTTACATTCAATCCCTTTATTCCCCACCCTGTACTAAAGTCCCTTTAGTGATCCTGAGGGGAGAATTAAATGCAGATAATTGAAGAACTAAAAGATGTTCAGAAGAAACTGCAACATTTGATACATTTTTTTATTATTATTTGTTATTACTAGGGGAGTGAGAGTTGTGCAGAAAACATCCAAATTGCTATTTTTCATGGATTTTTATGCCAAGTGGCATGACATAGCCTAGAGACACTGAGATAAAAGTCTTTCAAGGCTGGCAGGGTGTGATTCTGCATGTCTTACCTTCATGCATTTGCTTGTTATTGCCTTTTTAATTTATCCTGAAAATGAACCATGTCAGCACCATACCAGCTTTTCCTGTGCTATCTCTATAACTGTTTTTAGTTTGTTTTTTTTACTCACCCCTGTTATAATAATCTACCTAATTTTTTGAGAACTGAATTCATCTATGCTTTTTTTGACCTCCCTGTCTGCCTCAGGGACCTTGTTCTTTGGATTTGGGAATGCAACTCGTACGGAGGAAGCTTTTTTTTTCCCCGTCATATCCCTTGTCATTCCAGAGTTCTAAACCTTGGAAAACCTGAGCAGGTTGCTGTTAATTCCCTTGCTGCTGTGAGCAGGCACCCTGTGAACCTCCTGGCTATTAGAGGTTTCATAAGGTGCTGTCTGAATCCTTTTCTTGTAGTCAGTTCGTGTTCATTTTATTGCCCATGTTTAGCTAATTTATCCAGCAGTGTAGGAATGAAAATCCTTAAACTTGGGGAGATCTTCCTGAATTTAAAAATAGATTAAACCTGAGCTAAATGATTATTGGAATAGCTGGAACATCCAGGCAGATGCTTCTTCAAAGTCAGGGCGGTGTGATTTGTGTTTTGATGAAGTAATTACTGTCGTGTATTGGTGGGGTATCTAATTAGCAATTAGTTATAGCTTCCTTACTGGTTCAATTAATCAAATTCATGTTAGTGTAACTTAAGACTAAATTTAATTAAGTGATCAATTTTAATGCCTGAGCAGTTTCAGTAAACAAATTGTTCAACCTTCTTACTTGTCTTAGTTTGACTTTTAAGTGTGTAGAAGTAGAGAGGCTGTTTGTGCTGTCCTTGAGGCTGAATTGGGGTTTAATCTTGGTTTCTTTCCCCTCCCTAGAGGACAAAAATACTGTTGAAGATGTGTATTTTTAATTCCTTTGTTATAAACACTGAAACACAGTATCTAATTTAACCCTATCCTCTTTAGGGGAGCATCCAAAGCCTTGCAGTCAAAATAGATTATGTAGGTTTATACATATATTTATTTAATTCTAGGGTTGGCTTCAGGGATGCTGCTTTGTGGAATGAGTGGGGAGAACCTGTGAGGTTCCTGCAGAAGCACCACATGTGGCCCCAGGCAGTGCTGGGACTCAGCAACCAGCTCCTGGTTTGGTCCAGTGCACTGAATTTGGGATATTAAATCTAAAAGTGAATTGGGAAAAGATTGTGTGAGGCCTTGTACAGTGTAACCCCTTCAGTGAAGAGACAGCTCCAGGGTTGCAGCACCTCTTGAGTGCCTCTGGCATCTGCCAGGCATTTCAGGTCATCACTTCTGCAGCTGTCCCACTTGGACCAGGACTGGAGTTACACCTGTGGATGCAGGATATGGATCCATCTCACTCTAAAACTACACACATTTTCCCCCCCAAAAAACCCCAACCCCAACCCTTCTGCCTTTTTCATCAAGACACTTTACAATTCTGCCATGCACGTTGTCTCTGCTGAGATGAACTTGGATTGTATTTGGCCTCCAACCTGTCAGAACCTGCATTTGTCTTCCCAGCAACTCTTAATGCTCTGCCAGGCTGATTTTGCTTTATTCACACAGGAAAACACTTTTTTTTTTTTATAGCCCCACTTGAAATTTGTGAAGAGGAGCCACCTGGGTGGATGCTCAGGGTGCCCTGACAGTGGATTCTGTGGTGTGAAACTGCTGTGTGGGCTATGGGATTGTAATAGATGTAACTTGTTTATACAGAATTTATAACCTGTGTGTGTGCAGTGAAGAAATTAATATTTTAGCCTCAAATTCTGATGCAGACTTGCCCTTAGGAGGGGATGGAGCTCATTTCTACCCTTTCAACCCACTTGGTGCTGTAATGAGAAAGTGTCTGACCTTGGGCAACCTCCAAGTGCTTCCAGCTAAAAGCTTGAAGAATAAAAGTGTCTTGTGGGCTTGTACCGCAGCCAGCCATCCCAGGGGTGCTGGTCTGGTTGTGCTCATGCTGCAGGAGTCACCAGGAGAGCACCTTGCAAGCATAAAAACTCTTAGTGGAGTTTGGCTCAGTCAGCAGAAGCACACAGGTTTTTCTTCCTCACATACATTGCAGACAGGACTTGACATGGATTAATGTCAGAGCTGTGTTTGTTGTCTCAGGCATTGCTGTCTGCAGCATAAGATGAACATGGAATCCTAAATAAGCCTAAAATATTCCTGGCTATGACACATTTCAGAGGGCCAGGGAAAACAGTCTGAGATTATTATTTAATAAAGTCTGACCTCTGGGAATGATGGAGAAGCAATGAAAATTGAGGCAGCTAACCTTTGCCTTCACACCCTTCTCTTTCCTTCTCCAACCTGATATCCCCAATTTTTCTGCTAATGCTCAAATCCTTGACATCTGACAGCGAACAGCTCAGTGATGAACACGAGAGCATTTTTGCAGAAAGTTTAATTGATGTAGTTTAGAAAACTGTGAGGGCAGTTCTGTCACACATCAGCCCTTGTCTGACTCCAGTCTGCTCGGTCCTGCCAGTCTGGGGACAGGCTGAAAGTGAAATCTGATGAAACACAAGTTTTGAGATACCAAAAGTACAGCCAAGTTGCCACCTCGTTATCTTAACCCTCCCCCAGAGAACAACAGTGTTTCAGCTTTAACAGAAAGGCCCAGCGGGACTTTGCTTGTAAATCTTAACCTGTTTAACAGACATTGGTACCTGAATTGAATGTACAGTGCTGAAGTCTCATGAAAACTGCTAAGTTTTAGCTCTCACAGCAATTTAAGCTGCTCTTGTTTTCTGTTCTGTTTCCTCCTTGCCCTCTACAGATTTCAGGAAACCTTACTGTGCCTTGGATTACAGGTTGTTCCAGAAAAAGAGCAGTAAGTACATTTCTATTTAAGTATCTAATGCATCAAGTGAAGCAATGGAAAGCTGATAAAAATGTATTTTTGAAAATGTCAGTCCTATTTACCTGGTGTTGAATGTTCTCTCTTTAACTAAAACCAATGCTATCTGCAGGTGCAGTGTTTCAGGTGAGGTAAAGTTGATGTATATCTTTAAAAGCAAGCCAAGGTCATAATCCAGTGTGAAGTGATGTGATGCTCAGGTGTAGGAATTGTCTACTAGGTGAAATATTGCATCAGAATTGATGGATTGGGAGTTTGGAGCTCAGAATATGTTTTTTATATTGCAAGTAAAATGATTGTTAATTGAGGCAACTGAGTGTTTAAGAGAGCAACTCCCTGTGCAGCATCTCTGCACATGCACAGAATTAGTCTGGGCTGTCTGTAGGAACTTTAAAGTATAATTTCATCCACATTCATGTCATTTCACATTAGCAGAATCAGCCAGGTTGGTGTCCTCATTTCAGAAATGACTCCAAACCATAACAAACAGCTTTTGTCAGGGGAAAAAAAACCCCTCTGTCCAACTCTTTTGTTTGATTACTGCTCAGCATTTCTGGCTTCTCTTTGAAGACATTTCAGTTCTGCTTCATCACCATGAAAATGCACCCTGAGCCTGCAGGTTGGATGGTACAGCCAAGCTCTCCAGAGGCTGCTCTGCCAGATCCAATGGGAGGTGTCTGTCATGGAAACCAAACTTACCCATCCAAGCCCCCAGTCCATGGAGCTGGCAGTGTCCTGGCAGTGGGTGCTGCTTTGGCAGACCCAGTGAGGTCTGGGTAGTGGAACAACCTTTCCTTGCCTTCTCCTGCTATAACCAGTAGTTTTTTCTTTATTAATTTCAGTTGTTCTGTTTAGTCTCCAAAAGGTGTGAGTTTGGTAGTTTCCTGCATAAGTAGGTATCTAAGAAGCATGGCATTGTGTTTTCTCTCAGACTTTTTCTAGGTCTCAGCTGTAGCACTTCCAGTTTCTGCAGACTTTGGTGGTATCACTTATTTCAGTTTATACAGAGGGCACTTCAGAAGAGCATCTCCCAGAGGAACTGGTACTTTCATACAAATCCTGTTGTGCTCAGTCTTTCTTTTCCCTTCCCTCAGTGCTAATTCTCTTGGGTAGGCTTTTTGAAATGTAGCTCTTGTGTGGAAGGCACCTTCCTTTTCGAACTCTTCCAGGGCTGGTGGCTCCTGGGCAGCCTGTGCTAGGGCTTTCCATGAAAAAATATGTCCCAATATCCAACCTGACCCTCCCCTGGCACAGCTGGAGGCCATTCCCTCTCCTCCTGTCCCTTGTTCCCTGGGACCAGAGCCCGACCCCCTCCTGTCAAGGAGTTGCAGATCCAGAAGGTCCCCCCTGAGCCTCCTTTTCTCCAGGCTGAGCCCCCCCAGCTCCCTCAGCTGCTCCTGCTGCTCCAGCCCTTCCCCAGCTCCATTCCCTTCTCTGGACACTCTCCAGCCCCTCAATGTCTTCCTTGCAGTGAGGGACCATTAAAAATGGTTATTAGGGAATTCTTTTTCCTTAGACCTTTACCCCTGTGTATTTTTAATCAGCCAAATGCCTAAACCCATTGGTTAATACAATCTGCTTTGACAACATCAGTGTCCAGGTTTGTGGATGCACTTTCCCAGTTTAAATGCAGGATCAGCCTTCCTAAGGAGACAGGGTTAGGACCTGGCATCCTAAAACTGCTGTGTACACACAGGTGTAAGACAACAAACAGAGAAGCAGCTCCCACTTCCTGAGAAACTTCACTTTCAACAATGAAATCCTTTTGAAGAAAGAGCGTGAGGGAACAGAAATAGAATGGCTGGAGTTGTAGAAGTGCCATTATGGCAATTACTGCCATTCAAACAGGAAAAAGGCTAATCTGGATTTTGTTTAAAATGAAGAAGATCGTCTTTTAGATGCTCTGAATTTTTAATCTTTTGCCTTGATGTTTTGTTTTCCTTGTCCTGTCCTTCAGCTGCATCGGGAGAGAAATAAAAGCTGTGCAGTTCTGCAGAAACTCTTTCTCTCTGCTGGAAGATGATGTAATCCTGATTGTTAATGAATATTAGGCTAGAAATATCACCCTCTCAGTTACTGATGAGAGAGCCTTTGGAAATTACAGAGTTCTGTGTTCTGTCCTGGTGCATGTGCATTGGCCTTTACAAATGCATTGATTTTTGGTTTTTCACAGGGTGGTGGAAGGATAACAAGGGTTCAAAAATAGCAGTGGAGATACTGGTTAAAGAGAATTAAAAGGGGGAAAATATCCTCACTTTTGCCCTTAGATTTAAGTCTTGTGTTTCAGCTCTGTGTCATCTGAGGTCCCAGCAGAGTGGTTCGTGTTTGGGGTATATTTAAAAATGTTGGTATGATATGGGAAACATTTGTCACACAGGTGATGGCTCTGGGTAAGCTGTGCCTTAGCTGTGAAGTTTTTTTTGGGGGGGAAAGAGGGGGTTTGATCTGCCCAGAGCTTCAGCTTGGGCTCTGTGGGCTCTCAGTCCGACATGTATTTGAGGAGAGGAAATACCTGAAATGGGTGGAGAGAGAGTTCCTGTGCTGAATTTTGACTTTAAATTGCTCTTTGCACATGGCCTGTTTGAATAAAACTCTGGAGAAAGTGGCATTAAAGTGTCCCTCTCGGAGTCCTCCTGCCACAGGAGGAGAACAGGGAACACACTTTGGGTCAGGGGAAGGAGCTGCTCTAACCCAGGTTGGTGTGAGACCTCCACCAGTCCTGTGGCACATCCATGGGCATGGGGAATACAGCTGGATTGTGGGGAGGAGGCTTCAGTGGGACTGCTAAGGAAAATGCTCCTGGGAGTGGGTCTGAAAGGCTCCTGAAAACTGTCTGCTGCTGTAAGTGGATGTGAGCTGGAGAAATAATACCTTAGAGCAGCTTTACAGTGAAGCCCCCACAGGGATTAAAGCTGCCTGGAGTCAGAGGGCACCTCAGCTGTGCCTTTTGTTTTCAAACTACACCAACATGAAGTTCTCTTCACCTGCAGATTCCTCTGCTCTCCCAGGAGGGAGGAAAAGTGGTTTAGTCAAGTTGCTTGGAGCATGTCTGAGAAAGACAGGTGGGATCTTCAGTGAGGGAGATGAGCCAAGCTGAGGGTCTCCACAGGGCTGGCTGGGAAACTGTGCTTGTTCATCCCTGGTGTCATTTGGAATATTGGTTAATGTGTTTCCTCCTCCTGGGAAATATTTCAGCACCTGTCTCAAGATACTCCTCCATTCGATGATCCAGAGCACGTCCTGGCCTTCCTCCCAGGAACAGCACCTTTGTCCAGGAGCAATCCTCAGGGAATGCAAAGGGAGACCAAGTCTGGTCATCATTGCAGATAAAATACCTCTTTTTATTTATTACATGACACGCTGCACTGAAGTGCCACAAACCACCTTGGCTTACAGGCCAGAAATATCTCACATCTGGGCAGGAACTGGAAAACAGACTCTCTGGTCTAATGTGAGGAAGATATTAATAGATTGAGTAAGAATCATGATAATTACCACCTAAAAATCAGTTTAGTTTGGCTCTGAATGTTCGGTATTGAACAAACTAGTTCAAAATCTCAAGAAGAAGGGCAAATTTTTGGTTTGTTGGATTAAGGGTTGGTTTGGAAACCGCAGAGTGAGATGACAGGTTCAGAGTGTGACTTTTGGCTAGGCTGTTGCCTCTTTTTTCTTTTTTCTCTTTTTTTTCATCTCCTTGGCTGAGTTTGGTTTAGAAATAGATATTAACAGAATATATATAATTCTGGCTGAGCGTTGAAGCTCATGAGAGAGTTACAGCTCTTCTCACACTGGGGTCCTGTGAAATATTGACGAGTTCTGCTTCCATCAGAGCAAACTTCAGGCTTCCCCAGCCAGTGGGAAAGGATGCAAACCATCTCTGGTGCAGAAATCTAACAGTGTGTGCCCTAAGAGTGTGTCAGCAGTAAGAGTTGAAGGTGCCTTCAGATGCTGCTTTTCCAAAGTCCTTTGTGCCTGCAGTTTGTGCAGCTGTGTGTGAGCAGCAGGATCGGGGTGTCACTGACGTGGGGGCACTGGTGAAACCTGAACCTAAAACCTCAGACTGAAGGAATGTGTCATCTGGCACAGCTTTAATGAGGTTAAATGTCTTGGCAGTGTTAGGGGACAATGCAGACCTTCAGAATTTGTATATCAAGAAATAATAAACGAGAGTAAGATTCATATTAAATGGTGCAGATGGGAAAGGGGAAACCATAGTCAAATGGTTCAGAAATAACTATTAATACATATAAATAAGATCTTGAGATAGGAATCGATAATCCCCTGAAAAAATCAGACATTAATTAGTGTCAGGGTTCAGAGAGCTGAATGGTGGTGTCACTGGGAATGAAAAACTGACATGGTGCTTGTACAGAAGAATCCGGGATTTGTTCATACCTTGAATGCTGTGCTCGCTTCTGATCTTCCCATCCCTCCCAAAATACAACAGAGGAGCAGTGACAGGGATCAAAGGCACAGCAAATTTGTTGTGAGAGGTTTGTTTGCTAAAAATAACCATTACCTCAGCCTGTTTCATCACCGAGCATCAGAACTGAATGTTGATTTAATGTGATTTCACTGCAGTTTAAATGAACACAACACAGAGTGCTCAGCTGCAACATAAGTGCAGTAGCTACTACATTTATATGAAACCCCCAGTTCTCTCGTATTTGAGCATGCCTTTGATTAATAATCTGAGATTTGTGTCTAGCTTTTGTGCACGTGGCCTGAAACATTTTCAACTCAGGCATAAAACTGGATCTAAAAAAGCAGGATCTAATAAAAGGCAGGATAAGGACACTCCAGTGCCGGGCAATTATTCATCCCAATTATAGACACCGGATTTGCACCACAGATCCTGCCTGCACAGTGGGTGTGATGAGGGGTCGGCACAGTGCCAGGAATGTCTCCAATAAACTGGGTCATCTCTTCCAAGGATGTTGTTATTACACTTGGGAGGTCGGGGGATAAGCCGGGTTTAACCCTGCGCTCGGCACAACTGCCGATTCAGTTTGCTCGCCAGGATTGCTTTTCCTTGGGAACTGAGAGTCTGCTTTCTGCTGGAAGAAGCTTCTCCTGATTTTTTTCACTGTGGACAACAGAAGTGGTCAATGTGAGGAATTCAGCCAACAGCCAACGCTGCTGGGGGTAAAGCCGAGCCTTGAATTGGCAAACCCGGGATCTGAAGAGAGGAAATGAGAACTGAATTCTTAGTTTGATTTAATGAAGCAAAAATAAGAACTGAATTACTGCCTTGTCTTCATCTACAGGAAGTATTGCCATAAATATGAAGCTTTTCAATATTATCCTTTGATATTTTTTCCTGCAACTGTGACTATGAAAATATTTGTGGGACTTGAGTTTTTCCTCTTGCTTCCTCAGTTCCTCTGATGATATTAAGCATGAGAAGGTTATTAACTACGTCGATGGAAGCACAGTTACATGTTCAGTGTAGAAATTCTTTACCCTTTATTTTCTCACAAAAGTCACCGAGTGTTGTAAAAGCATTATGTAATTTTTAAGCAGTTTATAATGCAAGAGTCAAACTTGAGTATAATCCATGTCAAGGGGATGATCCTGTAATTGAAGGTAGTTTGTGATTTCCCTAAGAAATTGCTGATTAAGGCACATGGCACAGCATGTTACACGAAGGCTGTTAATCTGGATCTGAAATTTGGACATGCTGAACTGTTATTAACATCCAGAGAGCTTTAGGGCTGACACTGAGCCCAGGATGGTGGTGCAGCAAAGGAGAGCAGGGTGTGTAAATGATCATCCTTTGGGGTCTCTGTTCTTTTCCTCTGTGCCCCGAGATGGGTGTCAGGGTGATTCCTGTGCTGGATGAGGTGCCTGGTGCAGCAACTGCAACAGCAGTAAGTAATATTTTTGAATGTCAGATGGCTGCTGCTTTCTTCTTGTCTTGAGTAAGTAAAGGCTGAGCAGGCTCTGCACCCTTCCTGAGCACCATCCCTTTGGTAACTTGAGTCAGTCACTGTGTGTCTTTGTGCAGTGCAGGATCCTCTTGCATCTCACATTCTTGTTGGTCAATTCTTCTCTGTTTTTTTTTCAGTAGAAGCATTTCTTAGATAATTGGAAAATCACGTGGCAAACAGAAACCTGAGCTCCCTCCAGCAGCAGCTGCTCTTTCCTTGGGTTTTGTTCTAGTCTGACTAACACAACAAACTTAAGTGGGAGAAGACAACCCTGAGTGGGGCTGCTCCCTTCCCTGGGCAGTAACATCAGACAGGTTTCTTTTTGCTTCTCCCATTTCTCCCCTCTGCTAGCAGGGGGAATGTCCCCAGCGTGTTGCAGGGGGTCCTTTAGCTGTGCATGTCGTGTTCTGTGCTCTGGCTGAGCACAGATCACAGTGAGCTGTGCTGGGGAGGTCCCTGTCAGTGGTTGCAGCGGTGCTGTCACTGTGAACTCTCCAGCAGCAACAAGAAATGTTATTTATTTATGTTTCAAAAGCGCTCAGTGTCCTTTGGAAGGTGAGGTTGCCCTGAGCACTCAGGAACACAGGCCAGGCCAGGGTGACTTGTTCCTTTGTGTATTTGGAGCATTGGTATCGCTCTCCTTCCTGCCTTCCCTTTCCTCAGCTCCCCCACCACAGAGCAGTCCTTTTGGAAGTCAGTCTGTTTTGCCAGCAGCTATAGAAGGAGCTGTTGCTGCAGTGATCCAGGAGATAACTACACTTTTGTTCCTTGTAAAGGGCTGGGAGGTAGGAGCAGCTCAGGTCAGGCGTGCCAGGAACTCGACTGGGCTCAGGGTGAACGGGCCCCAGGGATTTGACTTTGCTGCACTTTGCTCAGCCTGGAGCAGTCTTGAAATGTGCCAAGTGGAGTCCTTTTGGATGAAAATAGCCTGGAGCTTGCTGTCTGGGAGCATCTCCTGTGCTGTGGCTGCTCAGGGGGTGCAGGAGGCAGGAGAGCAGCTCTGGCCGTGCTGTGTCCGTGGATGCTCTGCTCTGCCCCTGGGTACCATCAGCCAAGGATGGGTGGGATGGAAACACCTTCTGTAATTCTGGACTTGGATGGATGAAATGACAGCCAGGAAAAAGTCCTGAGTGCCTGGTTGCAGTTAATAATCATAGAATCATAGAATTGTGACAGTTGGAAAAGATCTCGAAGGTCATCGAGTCCAACCAGACCGTCTTTGAATATACCTGGTACATTTATTACTGTGACACCCAGGATTATTTTAAGGAGGCAAGGGTTTGATACCCCTATTTTGAGTTTAACATTAGGGTGATTCAAGTGCTTCTAACATTTTTGTAAAAAGTGATTTTTAAAAGAAGAAAATTGCAAGGATTACCATATTCTGAAGATTAACAAAAGCTAGAACTGGTAACTCTACGAGGTTGTCAAATGATCCTATTTCTATAAAATTGCTTTTTACTCCATTTTAAAATTACTTCATTCTAACTTTTCAGTTTTTAAATGAGCAAACACAGATTTTCAGCTATTGCAATCATGAACAAAATGAACTACTGAAATAATGACAAATGTGCCACGTGGGCTACAAGTTCACAGTGCAGATTTGTGGTTTCATTTCTGTGCTCTGAATAGCAGGAGAGGTGACAGACATGGGTTGGTGTAAAGAAACTGTAGATTTTAATTAAAATTCTGTGTGAAAAGCTTTTGATAAAGGCTGGAAGCTCTACCAGAGAAATGCACTGTTTGCCCACCCCAGTTCAGGCAGTGGTAGGATGTTCAGGATTTCTTTTTCAGTGTTACTCCTTTTATCAGTGATCCACTATCACATATTTTGACAAATGTAGACAAAGGGTTTGGGAACTCTCAGATAAACAGTGGAACCAATTTAACTCAAGCTTCCCAAATAAACATTAAAGTATTCCCTTTAGGAAGTCAGAATCCTTTGAATTATGCATGCATTGTAGTTTGCAGTAAGATAAAAGAACTTTAAGGGGGGGAGGGTGAGAAACTTGAAAAGCCGTAAGGAGTAATTTGCATAAATTGGGTGGAGAGAGTAAACAGCACAAGGGGAAAAAAGTTCTTTTCAGTAAAGCTTTATAGGATGAGATTAAAAAAATGACAAAAAAAAATCAGGTGGAGTTGAAACAAAGCTGATGTGCTTTAAACCTGCAGCTGCCTTTAAAGCAAATCCCAGGGAACTCTGAACTGCCCTGCATTAAAAAAAACAAACAAAACAAAAATACTTTGAAAAAATAAACTCTTAAGGGAGATCTAAAAGAGAAGAAGAGCCATGGAGACAGTACAACTTATGCCTTACTGTACATGAGACCTCTGGCAATGAAATGATCAGGGTAAGCAGATTTTTTTTTTTAATCTAACAGTGTGGTTTTTATCTTGCAGTTACAGGACCGCACACAGTTCAGTGACCGAGACTTAGCCACCCTCAAGAAATACTGGGACAATGGCATGACCAGCCTGGGCTCAGTCTGCAGAGAGAAAATTGAAGCTGTGGCTGCAGAATTAAATGTTGACTGTGAAATAGTGCGGGTAAGAAATCCAGAGTCTTCCCTTATCTTGTCGCTGGAGCAAAAATAGGACAGATGAAAGGCTTTAAAAATTTCATGAGGAAGCTTGAAATAGATTTCACGTATTACATAATGAATGACCACGCTGGGAAGTGCTCTCCTGCTCCTTCTGCATCTATATATAGTACAAGCCCTCAGGTAAGATCTTATTGATCAGCAGCAGAAGCAGCACTACAAGCTGTTTGACATCCTCTGGAGTAAGATTTTAAGTAAAAGTGTTTCATTTTGTAGGGAGATCCTAGAAGACTGAAAGGTGCTATTTATATTGCTATTAAGATACCAAAAAAAGGCTTTTCCGTAGACAAAGGCAAAGGATTTCTCATTCATCCTTGTAGGAAAAAAACATGTGAAAGAAAATGCTCCAAAATAGGAAAAAAATATTTAACAGGAGTGTCTTGAGGGCAGGTTGAGACGTGATGGAGAGCACAGAGCACTGTGAACAGTTCTGGGTTCAATTTGATAGTCCATGTAGGTGTGGCTGAGGAGGGACTGCTTTCCCAGGTACAGGTGTGGTGGAGATCACCTGACGCCCAAGAACACTCCACATCATCTCTTCCAGAGGCTGGGAAGTTTGGTACAGCCTCAGCTGATGCCACTGTGTCCCACATGAGCAGAGATACAGCATCACTCTCCAGCTGGGGGGTCTCAGTCACTCCAGCTGTGTCCATCCTCAGGAAACACTCTGGCTGTCTTTCAGTCAGACAAAAACATGACAAGAGCCTCCATAACAGGCAGGACAGTTGGGATCAGCCCTTTCAGTCTCCATCCTCTTTCTCCACCTCCTTCCTAAATTCCTGCCATTGCTGCAGAAGCAGAACTTGGAGCCCTTATTGAAACCCTCCTGTTGGTGAGACCTCTGGGTTGGAACATCAGAACAGTACCAGAGCTGCTCTCAGTGTTAACACAGATCTGATCATTTACTTGTTTGCCTGAATTCTAAAAAAAACCTAAACTGCACTTTTGGAGGCTGAAAAGAATTACCCTTTTCTCTGTAGAGAACAAAGCTTCTCCCTATTTCCCAAGCTCTTCAGTTTGCTTTCTGAAAGGTGGAGCTGTTCCCACTGCCAGCACCTCCTGGACATGACACAGCTCATTTACAGGACAGTGACATCCATTGCTCCCTTAGTTTGTTCCCTTAGGAGTCACACAGGGTGACACTGGGAAGTTCTGTGCATACATTTAATCTGCTGCAATGCTTTTGTCCTCAGGGCAGGGCTCTGGCATAACCTGTATCAGAACACACACAAATGAAGCTAAAAAAAAGATGTCTTTTCTTCTTTATTGTTAGCAGTGACTGCCCCACCTCTGCCCCTGGTTCCTCTATATGGCAGACTTGGGAATTGCAGCAAGAATTGTGATGTAAAAAATAAGTGCAGCATATCTAAAATAGTACTGAGTATCTATATAAACCCAAGTGCACATATATATATATATATTTATACAAATACTTGGGTTTATATAGATATGTGTCTATAAAAATAACAACAAATTTATATACATGAACTCCCACCAAAATCTCATTAAACTTAAAATATTTCTCTTTTTTACATTATAATATTGCTGATTACATTTTGGGTTGGGTTCTTTGTTTTGTGGGAGTTTTTTTGTTGTGGTGTTTTGTTTTGGTGTTTGGGGTTTTTTGTTTGTTTTGTTTATAAATGTTTATTAATTCATTAAAAAAATAGCAGAATAGCCCTTTTGGCAGCAAGGCAGACATTTGCTAAGGAGGGATGTCAGCTATGGAACTCCTCAGAAATATGGGAGGAACATAAGACAACTTCATAACAATTTTATTTTTTCTTTTTATTAATAGAATAGAAAGCTTTTGGATATAAGAGATCAAAGCTACTCCTAAGCACCCACTGTAGGGTAAAGACATCTCCTCCTCTTTGCCAGCAGTTCACCAGGTAAAAGCTGGTGACACTATAAAAACATGTTCATCTTCTATGACATATTCAATATGTTCAGTGAAAGCTTTTCTGCTTTGAAAGGTGCATAAAAAGACAAAACCTGCCTTTCCCAAGTGCCTCAGTTTGTTCTGAATTTTTTACTAAGAAAGAAGTAGATTCAATTTTCAATTTTCTAGTTGTTATCACTGTTTATTACTGTCACAAGATTATGGGAAAATGTAAAGAATGGCATTGCACAGCTTGGAAAAAAAGAGATACAGATCTCAAAGGGCTGCTTGTGGGGTTCTTTTTTCTTTTATTTTTTCCCCCAAACAATATAGAATATACAAAATTATCTGGTTAGCTCTCTGCATACCTGTTGTGCATTGTTCAAAGAGGAAAGCCAGCAAGCTGGGAAAGCAAACACCACCCAACAAAAAGGATTTGCCAGAAATAGTGTTCAGCATGTCACCTTTTAGCTAGTTAGAGATGCAGCTTGAAAAGGTCTTTTTTTCAAGGTTAGCACAGCATGAAACTGCCTTTAGTAGTTGGGACTGCTGTTGATATTTTTTTTATTTTTCTCTTTGAAAATCAAGGTATTACAAGCAGCAAGTTTTTTACTAAACTTTTTCACGCTCTCCATCAGAAAAAAGCCCCAGTAATGGAAGGGAAAGGAGAGAGTGAGGAGGAGCAGACAGTTCTCATGACATCACGTTAAACCCTGGTTTGGGTCTTAAATAATCTTTAGTGTAGACTTTTCTTAATCAGAGAAAGCAAATTAATGAACAGTTGTACAGACCCACTTGGAAAATTTGGAATGTGAGGGGCTTTTTTCCCTTTTTTTCTTTTTTGCAACTTAGTTTTATTGATGTCAAATGAACCTAAAGCATCCATACCCGTCCCACCAAGGATGGGTTTCCAGGTTCCTGGGCCTGTTCCATCTTCCACCACTGTTCCCAGTGGGCTCCTCTACCTTCCTGCAGGCCTTGTCTTCCAACCACAGGGGGCTGGAGGATGCTGCTGCTCTGAACTGAGAGTTCTGTCCTCAAAACGGAGCGATGCAGATCTGTCACCTTGGCCAATTCCCTGGGGGAAATCCTAGAACAGGTGGGATGTTTGGGTCACTTTAGTCCCCTTCAGGAAATTGCAGAGTGGGAGAACCTGGATCAAAGATCTTAAGTTAAATTTGTTGAATGATTTAGGTGGGGAGAGACCTTACAGAGTCACCCAGTCCTGCTCTTGATTTGGAGCAGGATTGATTTCGCACTCAGGGCAGGTTTCCCAGGATGATGTCCAGTAAAATGCTGAGTTCCCTCCAAGGCTGGAGGTCCAGGGTTCCTATGGACACACTGTTCCTGTGCCTCACTGTAAACAATATTTTTCCTTTTTTTCTCAACTCCAGTCAGAGCTTCCCTTGCTGCCACTTGTGCCTGTTGCTGCCTTTCCTTTTGCTGTGCATCTTCCCTTCTGCCTTGTGTTGGAGGACTGGGAGCCTGGACACAGGATCCCAGGAATCAGCCTCATGAGGGTCAAACAGGGGGAATAACCCCTCCCCTGCAGTGCTGCTGCACTCTTGTTGCTGTAGTCCAGATGTGCTGATGTCACTTGGTTGGGGGCCTGTTGCTTTGTCATAGTTTCTGATTCATTCATGTTTATTTCTCTTACAAGACTTGGATTGGGAATCGAAGACGGAAATATCGTTTAATGGGGATTGAGGTCCCACCCCCTAGAGGAGGTCCTGCTGATTTCTCTGATCAATCTGAATTTGTTTCTAAATCAGCACTTAATCCAGGAGAGGAAACTGCTACTGAAGTGGGGGATGATAATGATAGGAATGATGAAGTGTCAATCTGCTTATCTGAAGGAAGCTCACAAGGTATTTGAAATGCAGTTACTGCTGTGCCTGTATTTTTAATTTTGTGCAGTGTGCATGCTTTGGATTCTGTTGTTCACATTCACAAACGTCTGAAAGAGTCTCTCACAGTCACAAGGGCTCCACCTCGGCTTGCTGAAGGTACTGTTTGGTCTCTTTCTTCTCTCCCTCTCTCTGAGTTCTGTTGGGTTTGTTATCACAGAAATTGCAGGAGCCTTTTCTCTCAAGAGCTCCATTTCTGCCTCATTCTCATGAAATTAAATGACAAGTGCACATTCCCCTGGTGCAGCTGAGAGCTGGACTGACAGCACAGATGGACAATCTCCCTTCCCCAGGAAGCCAGGTTAAAAAAATGCTCTCTGAGGCTCCTGGAGCCTCAGAACTGCACCCACAGGGTGTGTAAACTGCAGGAGTGAGAAGTGCCTGGCACTTAATTCCCTTTTCCTCCCACGAGCACATGGAATCGATCCCTCCCTTCCCCTCCTGTCCATGAGCTCTGGGCCCCATGAGCTGCTCTGCACATCCCCAGCTCACTAATTGCTCCCAGTGCTTCTGATTAGAGAGATCAATAAAGCCTTTGCTCTCCAGACTAAAAGAAAGCCTGACCTGGGGCCTGCTGGTGCAGCTCAATATGCCAGGCTTGATCTTGTCATCTTGTCAGAACAATTTCGAGGGAAGAATCAGGAAAAGGGAGAGCTGCTGGGAAGGAATTTGTGATGGCTTTGTCATAACCTGCCGGAAAGAGAGTAAGATGATAAAGAAATGGGTCAAGTGATTGAAAGGCAAGTGAGATGCAGAATCTCCGAGTCCTTGATTTGCCTGAGGTGTGGAAAGAGCTGATTTAAGTCAGATCTGCTTGAAAGAAAACAGTGACAGGGGAAGAGTCTGAACCCTCTGTAGTTAAAGTGAGAAATAACAGCACTTTCATTGAGCAAGGCTTTCATAAAACAAGATAAGGCTGGAAGACTTTGAGTAGATTATTGGTGTCAAAGCTTAAGGAAGTGCAAGAAAAATGACAGGATTTCCACAGCATCCAGGAATCCCACTTTCATTCCTTTATTCTCCCACAACAATTATTTCTATTCATTTCTCCAGTTCAAAGGAGGAGGTTTCACTGCTGCAGCTCAGCTTGTTTTGAACTCCCTGGAAAATATTTCCCTTAATACTCGTGTGCTGTTCAGTCACAGATAGGGATTGTTTTAATGTTTGAGAACTGTAACTTTTGGTCCTCATTTATTAAAAACCCAAACCCACCACAACAAAAACCACTCTGAAAGACAGTTTGTCACCTAATTAAAGTGACAGTGGTGATGGCTCTTGCTTTTAAAATGTAGTGTGTACATAAAATAAAGTGAGCTGTACTGTGATGCAAAATGAAGCATTAAAGCCCTTCTATTGCCTCCCCTTTTTTAATTGTGTGTTAATTGGATCCACGCTTTGTGTGAGCACAGCCCTGTGGAGGGTCAGAGCTGTACTGGGTTCTGTGAGCTGAGGATGAATATTTAAAGAGTTGGGAATGCTGTAGGGAGCTGTTGTAGCATCCAAGGGGTGACTCCCAGGGTTATGGAGTGGCTGGTGCTCTGGAATGTTCCCAAGTCCCTGAGGTGCCTCCTCAGTGCCCTTCACCCCCTGGGTGTGATGAGGGTCCTTCACTGCTCCTGCTCTGCAGTTCTCCCATTTGATCCCATTCCTGTTGCTCCTGGCACTAATCAGCCTCTGAAGCCACGACTGATGGCAGATTAAACTTACTGGAAACAATTTTAAATTAAAAAGTGTGCCCAGGTGGCCAAAAGAAAGGCCAATAGCATCAGCTACATCAAGGCTGGTGTGTGCAGAACAGGGCAGTGATCACTTCCTGTACTCTGCATTGGGTGAGGCCACCTTAGTGTGTTCAGCTCTGGGCCTCAGTTCAGGAAGGATATTGAGGTGCTAGAAAAGTTACTTAAAACAATAAACTGTCTCTGTATGAGCTGGCCTAAACATTATCCTGTCCTTGCAGTGTTGGTAATCCCAGGGAAATCCTGTTATCCCTGTGTTTGTGTGGAGCTGACAGAGCCTGGCATTGCCACCTGCCCCCTTCCAGTGTCCAACTGCACCTGGCTGCCCATTCTCTCTTTTCTTCTTTATATTAAATATATATACTTATATATTAATGCCGAGAATTCAAGTAAATATGAGAAACATACTTAATTTTAGGGATGAGCAGACTTACCTTCCTTTGGGTTACGTTTTGTCATTGGCCATTAAGGCAAATGGAATCATCTAGTCTGTATTTCGTCCGTATTTTATCCTTGTGATTGAAAAATAAGGCTAAAATCTGCTCTGTTTTCAAGTGCTTATACATAAACCAGCAGCTTAGGTTCAGTGGGGATAAACATTTGCCATATGAGAGGGAAATGATCTGCTTGCTGAGTATTTGGTTTAAAACTAATCAATATCTGCAAGGAGGAGGGGGGTTCAGACATATACCTCTAATTTCAGGTGATATTCTGATATATGTCCTATAATTTCAGGGAATGCAGAATTTTTCATGCAGTAATTTATTTGACTTTTTAAAAAAAAAAAAAGTTCTGAACAACTTTGATGTGAAACTCTTTGAATTCCAACCTGAATCAAAACCCAGGAAGATTTTAAGAGAATAACTGATAATTTTCCTATTGTTTCAGGTAGCAATTGGCAAATTGGCTTGAAATCCTTGTGACAGGATGTCTTTTTTAATCAGACATATGTTATTTTTTTGAATAAACATTGTTACTATGACTTTGCTCTTGGATTTAGCAGCTGTGACATATTTATGGTAAAGACTATTAATGTTCCTGCAGCATAAAAGTGGCATGAAACCTGACAAATCTAATTTATCTCTGCAGAAGAGACAAATGAAGCTCTTCAAAATGAAGAAATTGGTCACAAAGATGATGACCAGAATCCAGCTGCCACTGACAATGTGGTAGGTACCTTCCTTTGCCTCCTGAATTCCTCATGCTGGGCTTGTCCAACATCAGTGTTTCTCATTAGGTGAAAACTTGAGGGTGCTAAGAGGGGTTCCTGGTTGGGAGCACTAAAACTGTACTGAAAATACTAAAACATACTAGAAAAATACTAAAACATTCAGGAGAAATGGAATTACTTGTTTTTTCTGTGTTCTGCCAATCTGCTGTTCTTCCTCTGGAGGGCCAAGCCCAGCTCTTGGGTAGAGCTTTGAAAGTACCAAGTGTAGCAAAACAGAAAGAAGGAGTTAAAACCAGAATTAAAGCTGGTTTTCTGTAGCATTCAGCAATTATCTCTAGTGGTTCCTCTGCCTGGCTGACCTTGGATGGGTGAGTCAGGTGGGGTGGGAATGTGCTGGATGATCCTTGGGGATCCCTTCCCATTCAGAATGTTCTGGGATTCTGGGATCCTTCACTCCCATACCCTGGTCAGGACATTGTTCAGGTGGTTTTTGTTTTCCCCCTTGCTGGTTTAACTGAGTGCAGTGAGACAGGGCAGGAGCAGAGGGAGGAGTCCTGGCATAAATAATGCAATAAATCCCTGTGTTCAGCCTGCCCTCTCCCAGATTAGAAGAAAGGAGAGAAGACCCCAAGTGAGTGACTTCTATCTGGAGTGACCTGCAGAATGATCAGGGCATGGCCCAGCTCCCCCTGCACTCCTGGGCGGGGCTGAATCCACAGCCCAGAACATGGAACAACATTTGTGTTCCATTGACCACCCAGAACCTGAGGGGGGAAGCAACAGGAGAGTCCCTTCCCCTGCCAGGAGGAGACAGCTTGTCCCTTCCCTTGCTAATTGTGATCATCCTTTGGATACAATGAAACCCCCCAGGCTGCCTTTCCCCTCTGTTATCCCCACTGTCCTGCTGTGACCTCAGCTAATCCCTCGCAGGTCTGGCTGATGTGTCTCCCATGGAGAGGCAGGATCTGAAGTGACAGAGGCAAAGGGTTTGCAGAGATGAAGTCCCAGAGACTCAGCTCTCCGGTTACCTGAACCCCAGCACTGTGCTGTTTGATGTAATAATGGGAACAAATCCAAGGAATAGTTTCTTCACACTTTGTTCTGAAAACACTGTCACAAAACTTTTTAAAAATGCAGTTAAAATTGGACTAAAATACATTGGATTTGCATAAGAGATGCAATTTTCCTATTTGAAATTCTAATCTGTTCTTTCCCCTACTATCTTAACGTGTATGTCTAAGAAAGATAGTGTGAATGTTTGGCACTTATTTAGAGACTCTTTCCTCAAGCTGAGCCTAAAAACAAAAATATTTGAATCACAGTGTTGCTGAGGGTAGGATGGAGCAGCAGATCTCAGGGACATTAAGCCTTTGAAGTGTTGTCACTTCAGCTGGGCTGTCAGACACGGGAAATGTGGTTTATCCTCTCTGCTTTCAGCACACGCTTGGGACCTTGGTGGGCTCTGCCAGGGAGAGCCTGGTAACCCCCCTGGAAGGGTTTCTCCTTGGGATCAGAAGAAAATTCCTGCTGCCTGGAGTGAAGGCAGCAAGAAGGGACATGGATGTGCTCCAGGGAAGGAGCCTCCTCTGGAATAACACCTCAGGAACCAACCATGAGCCTGGACTGGGCCCTTCCCTTCATGGGATTAAACACTATCCTAAAACCATAGTAAAATTGCTTTATTATAGGCAGTCTCATAGATGTTCACAACTATCAAACCAATTAAAAATAGTTAAAAAGCAGTCCCCTCTTCTTACACTACCACTGCTTCCCCCTCAAATATAGTGAAATCTGGGCAGTCATTCTTCCCATTCCAGTCACTAATTCACATTCACTTCATCTGTTTGATATATGCCTTCGATAGGAATAAAAATTCAAATCTCATAGAGGCACTAAAAACGTGTGCATTTTGTGTTTTCTCCTGTTGAAATAACCTTTTAACTGAATTTTCTTACGTGAAAAGAAAAAACATTCTTTTCTCTTGGGAGAAAACAGAGCATGCCATTGGTAAATAATGTAAAAGTGATTTTTTTTTTTAAATTTGGGATAGGATTGGGATGTATTTCTAAGTTTTAATCAGTGTTAAGGTTGGTCTTAACATTTTGCTTTAGGTGTCTTTAGAAACCCAATGTAAAAACCTCTCCAGATTTTTGTGAATGAGGTGAAAATGTCCATGTTTATGGATTTGGAACTGTCCTTTGGATCAGCATCCTCTGCTGTTTAGGGCACTTCACTTGCCTTGTGACCAGAGAAGGCCAAAGGGGAACTCCTTCATTTTTCAGGCACAAAATGGATCAGGACTTGCTGTAACATCTGGTTTGCTCCAGAGGGAAAAACTTCCAGCACCTCCTTCAGTGCAGGAGGTTCTCATCAGAGCAGGGGCTGTGAGGGATTCTAATGTTCAATTTGATGCCTAAATCCTGGAGCCAGGGAGCTCCTCCCCTGTACACAGCCCAGTCTCCATGGCAGCAGCTCCCGTGGATTCCCGGAGCGTTCCCGGAGCGTGGCTGAGGTGCAGTGTTGCCATCTAATGGGGCTGCAGGGCTGGGGATTCCTGGGAGCCAGCACAGCCCTGCATCCTGCCTGCCAGGCTGACACATGGATTGTTGTCCCCTGTCACCTCCACCCCTCCCTGGCGCTCTGGGATGAGGATCCAGCTTGGTTTGTCTTCTCTGTGCGTTGGAATGTTCCAAATGAACCATTTGCTTCTCTTCCAGAAAATAGAAATTATAGATGACGAGGAGAGTGATATGATCAGTAATTCTGAAGTGGATCAGATGAGTTCTCTCTTGGATTATAAGGTGAGTAACTGGGCTGTGTCAGGCACAGCAGGACAATTCCCAGGGAGTTCAGGGCAGAAATTCAGCAAAGGCAGCCCCTCTGCCCTTATCCCTGTGTGCACATCCTGCCCTCAGCCCCCTCTCCTCCCACCTCCAGCCACATTTTCCACATTTCAACCCCGAGGGAAGCAGGAAAACCCCACTTGCACAGAGCAGTTGCATTACTGTGGCTGCAGCTCCTGCCACGTGTCCCAAACCAGTTTCTGGAGCCTGTAAACCACAACTTCCTTTTTGTGGGACAGTTGTTCCTTGGAATGCTGCAGCACACTTTTCCTGCTGCCAGCTCTGGAAGGGGCATAACAGCTGGGATCCTTAATAAAATGGGGGATCTGAGGAGAAGTCATTTCCCAGGACATGCCTGGAAGTGGTGGCTGTGGGAGGGAGGAAAAGCAGTGGGATCCTGACAGCTGCCAAAGGGTGAAGGGGTGTGTGTTACTGCTCTCCTGAGCTGCCATAATTCCATGTTTTATTGAGCATGGCCTCCCCTGTGTAGCTGATTTTTTCATTTAAAAAAAATCAGGTCTGTTCTCCTGGTAACAATCAATTACCAAAATCATAAACAGATCATCCCTTCAGAACAAAAATTGCTCCTTCCAGCAGCGTTTTCCTGGGAAGGGCAGTGGGGAGTGAATGTGGAGAGGGAATGACCTTTTCTTAATGTCACTCTCACTGCAGTGAGAGGCTTGTTGTGACAGTGCCCTGCAGACCTGGGGTTGTTGTTTGACATCACTGATTAATCCATGAGTTTTCTACCTAAATCTGAATTCTTCCTTGGCTGGGCAAAATCCAGTGCTGAACTGCTGAGTTCTCCTCTGAAAGAAACTCAGATCACTTTTTAATGAAAGCCTCAAAATCACAGCCCAAATATTTCCCTCATTCCCAGAGCTGTTATCACCTGAAGCAGTGTGGGGAGCAATGTTCTCACTCAAAAAATGGGAATTTTCTGGGGGAAAAAAACCAACAAGACCAGAAAACCTTTAGTGCATCACATAATCTCACCTTTTCCTATCAATTAAAGCTGAATTACAGCCAGCAAGTGCAAGCAGAAATAGCATGTTTTTACTCCTGGAGGATGCACAGTTGGTGCTGTTAAGCAGGGCCCTTTTACAACAAAATGAGCAATGACTGATCCTGTAACCTGAATAAACAGTTTGATTTTCATGATCTTTGCAAAGGTAAATAACCACAGAAAATGAATTTTAGCTCTGCACTGATCACCAGATTCAGCATTTTGATGTTGCCCACCAATCAGTTGGTAAGTTTGAGATAGGAGAGGAGATATTTGGAATAAACAGAAGTACTTATCAAATCTGAATTCTTAATTAAGGGATTTGGAAGTATAGCTTGGAAAAATGTCTTCTCAGCCACGACATGCACATTATTGACAGTTCTGTATTTTGTACATCTGATTTCAATGCCCAGAAATAACTGTATGAAGGTTGGAATTAGATGGTTTTTAAGGTCCTTTCCAATCCAAACCATTCAGTGAAATGCCTGTTTATTGTGACCCTGAGGAGGTTGGTGAGCTGACACTTGATGGTCCCTGTCAGGCCCAGCTGCACTGAAGATGCTGCATTTTAATTTGTGGTAGCTTTGGGGAATTTTCAGGTTATTGTCACTGGTTTTTGTTTCCAAGCCTCCTGCTGCAATAATGGAATTTATTTGCCTCTTCTCACAATCCCTTTGCCTTTTTAAGATCACTGCTAGGAAGAGACCTGGGCTTTGGTTTTGGTTTTCACCAATAACATTTAGTTTGAACCCAGGTGTGTTTCAGTGTCATTAAAAAGCTGCAGTGGGGGTTCTTCCAAAGCTCTGTCCTGCCCAGGGCTGGAGTCCCATCCCTGCAGGGATTTACCAGCCCTGTGGATGTGGCACTTGGGGACACGGGGTGGCCTTGGCAGCGCTGGGGGAACGGTTGGACTCGAAGGTCTCAGGGGGCTTTTCCAACCCCAACAATTCCATGAGCATTCCCAGAACTCCCTGTGATTTCCCCCCAGAATGAAGAGGTCAGATTCATGGAGAGCCAGCTGGAGAACCACAAGCAGAAGTATTTTGAACTGCAGACGTTCACCCGCAGTTTGATACTGGCCATTAAATCAGATGATAAAGAACAGCAGCAGGTGAGCCCTGGAGTGGGTTTGGTATCAGCTGTTTGGCATTAACATCAGAATGTGTTTGTCATCAGCATCAGGTGTTTGTCATTCTGTGTCCTGCCACTCCCTTGGGTTTATTCCACTGCTCAAATTATGACTGAAAAACCCAATGAAGTTTTTCACGCTTTGCTTAAAAGACATTTGAATTCTGACATAAAAAAAATACACCTAATACTGTATTGTCATGGCTTTTCCCTCCCAGGCACTGCTTTCAGACTTACCTCCTGAACTAGAAGAAATGGATTTCAACCACACCTCCCCAGAGCCTGATGATACCTCATTCAGCTTGTCCTCTTTGTCAGAGAAAAATGCCTCAGACAGTTTGTGATTTATTTTTTTTAACTGACAAACCAGAACCCCCCCTGGGACGTGCAGGTTTCAGGAGAAGGGCATTTTGCTCTCCAGTGTTTCCTCAGCCCAAAAACAAAAAGCAAGTCCAAGGTGAAGGAGCCTGTCCTGAAGGATGGCTGGGCCACAGCCCAGCTGCAGTTTGCACTGGCAAGGAATTTGGAATGGTGGTTTTGCTAAAGGAGAGAACTGGGTGAGAGAAGGTTTCACTTGTAGCAGTTTGGCCTTGGTTGGGAGAACTCCTGACTCTCCAGAGTAACTCTGGCTCTGTAGCAAAGTCTTTTCGAGCAGGGATTTCTGAGTGGAAAACAAATCCTTCAGCCTCACGTGCTCACCAGGCCTGTTTATTATATTTTTCCCCATTTTTACTCAGGTAGGTGGACTAAAAATTGGGGGTCCCAAATAAAATAACGGGCTTTCTCTGAGTTGTGCTTGAACCCTTTGGAAAACCTGAAATTAAACTAAAGTGTTTTTTGTTCTCTGACTTGAGATTGTTGAATCTTCCATTTTCTGACCAAAATAGCTGAAAAAACCTTGAAAGGCTAACTCAGAAAACTGAATTATTACCAGTAAATTTTTAATGTGAAGAAGCAGTGATAAGTGTTGGAAGAAATGAGATGGAAATGGGAGCCCTGATACCTGCAGGGCATGGCTTCCTGATACAGTAGCAGTGGAGTTGGATGTTTACATTCTTTAGGGTTTTAGGATTGTAGTCACAGTTTTGATTTGTCAAAGCCTGAATGCTGAAGTTCTGCTTATTATTTTAAGTATGGGTTATGTATTTTGCCACAAACTCTGCTCCATTTTACCAAGCCAGTCAGAATTCCAGAGCTGTCATTGCATCCTGAAAGGTTTTCCAGTATTTGGAACTCCAGGATGATCCTGGGTGAGGCTGTAGCTGCCTGCCCATGGTATTGATGCTCTAACTGGAATCTGAATCCCTCAGCAAGAATTTTTCACACAGTCAGGTAAAAAACCAGATCTTTCCATTTTATGCCAAATAATAATTGACTTGGGGGAATCCTTGTTCATCCAGGAGAGCAAGTGATTCCCTTAATTTCAGTGGGAGGTCCAAGGTGTAGCTCAGAGAATCCAGAGTGCTGGGGAAATAACTCCTTTTTTTCCCTCCCCAATACTGGGATTAACTCAGAATGTAGGGTTTTCTCAGTCTGATCTGTTCCTCCCTAATCACTTCTGCAGCTCTTTTTTGTTTAGTGCCAGTACTGAGCTCTGTTCTTTCAGGTTTTTTCTGGCTCTCTTGTCCTTGGGCATGAGGAGCTTTTAGCAATACTATGAAATACCAGCTGCATAAAGGGTAGGGACAGTTTGAAAAGGTGTTTTACAAACCAAGTTTCACAGTTCTGACCAGTGTATGATTCTGGTAGTTCCTAACAGACCTCTGACCACACAACCTGCAGAGTAACCCCAGAATTCCAAACTGCTGGGCCTGGATGTGAGTGGGGCATTAAAACTGGGAGTGGCACCCCAGGAGAGAGGGAAGGCCCCGTGTGAGCAGGAGGTGAGGGTGGAATATCCTGTCCTGGCTGGCAGACACGTCCTTGTGGCCTCACCCCAAGAGCAGCAGTGTCTGCCAGGCTGTGCCAGTGACCCCAGTCTAAAATGAAGGTCTGTGGGCAGAGATCACAGTGCTGTCCTTCCCATGGAAGACACAGCTCAGCTGGAATTCTGCTGGCTCTGAAAAACTCATTTATAAAGGGTTTTCTATCCCAGGCTGACAATGGTTTCTATTGCTGTCCCCTCCAGACAGGAAATCAGGGCCACTGACAACGAAGCCTCTTGTTTTCTGTGTTCTAGTACTGTCATTTGCCACTGTTTGGACCCTGTTTTCCTGCTGCTTCCACTGAAATTCCCATGACAAAAGGCAGGATACTCTTCATGGGAGCTCTCGATTTCTTGGTCAGTTAAGTCACCCACCTTTCTGCAAGAAAAGCTCCCGTTGATGATTCCCATTTTGCTGTCTTGTTTCTATTCCATCTCCAAATGGAAGGAATGAATTTTGAATGAACTGCTGCAATTATGTCAATCCCTTTGCTGGGGGAAGGTTGTTCTTTGGTCCTTTCTCCTGTAGGGAGACACCAAAAGCCCAGGGAGGCAGTGGTGCTTCCACAGCTGAGACACCTCACAACTTTACAGGATGTTCAGGAGGGAAGAGTGTGAATTCTGTCCCTGATAACAGAAAGCAGTGGAGGAAGATACTGTACAGCTCTTTGGCTGGTTTTTTTCACTGTTAGTGCGTATTTTCAAATTTTTAATGACATTTAAATCCCATTAGTGATATTATAACTGTAGATGGAAAGCAGTGGGGTGGCTCTGTGGGCCCCTGGCCTGGCAGGATTTGGGATCTGGTTGTTTCCCCATCTGTAGGATGATAATGAGAGCCCACATTAAGGGCTAATTTATCATTCCATAGACTTTCCATAACAAATAAAGCCAATACCAGGCTTTTTAGGGTGACAGAAATCAGCCCCCTTTGCATTTCAGTGATTTCACTAATCTGAGTAACCTCCACAGCAGAAGGGCCACGTGTCGATGTTTTGCCACCCTGTGAAGTCTCTCAGTTAATCTGCCCATGAGCAGTGACTTCCCTGGTGTGCTTATCCCTGCTGCATCCGTGGGAACGTCAGTGATGACGTGTGTGTGTCTGGAGCAGCCCAGGTGGGGAGAGGCAGCTCAGAGCAGATGTTGAGCAGAGACAGGCCGGGCTCTCCTCGGGAGCGGAGTCTTTGATGGGACAGGTTTGCTCCTGCTTCAAACCCTGTGTCCTGCAGCTCTGCCTCCCTCCCTTTCCCTGCTGCTGCCACTTCTGTGGGTGTGACAGGTGAGGAATAGTAACTAGCAGGTACATTTGGGGCAGGTTGAGGGTCCCCAAGGTACATACAGGTGTCAGTTCTCTGCAGTGCTCGGTCCTCGAGGCACCGCTGCGCTTTCATCTTTCCAAGGATTTCCTTTCATTAAGGCAATAAAAAGTCCGAGATAAGCAGATCATGAGCTTTGCAGCCCTTTGAGTGAGGGAAGGAATGTACTGGTTCTGTCTTCAGCTTCAACTGGGAACAGCTTTAGCAAGTCCATTCTCCAGACAGAGACAGATGTGTCTGCTGTGCTCATACGGGTGAATAGAACAAATCCACACCACCGTGGGCATCCTGACTATGGAAATGGGAATTACTGCTGCAAGTGGATCCGCTCTCTCACTTGGGATCTCTTGCACCACTGTATCCCTGACACTGAGGGCAAACTCCTGCACAGCACTGACCTTCCCTCAGTGCTCCAGGCAGAGCAGACTGTTGGTTCAGGCTCCTGGGACTGGAAGGAAGGACAAGAATATGGAAGGACAAGAATATGCAATAAGGGAATAGCAGAGCATACCTGAAACAGGAAGAATCCATACCTTGCTCCAACCCAAAATTTGTTGTCCTCCCTCCAGTCCCTGCCCCACTCCCCCAGGCTGCTCTGAAGGACTGGCACAACTGGCAGGGCCAAATCCTGCCTTTTCTGCCCCGAATCATCACGAGTGAGTGAGTTGTTTGGTTGTGAGGTCCCTGAGCAAAGTTAGGGGCTGGTCAGGGAGAAAACTCCATCTGGTTCCCACAGAAAACAAGCTGGTTTGTGGTGGTTGATTTCCCTACTCAAGTAAATTTTAGCCCATTGGCCAAATGTGAAATCTGAAAAGTTACGGGGGAAAAGCAGCAGCTGCTTTGGTCAGAAGACAGATGGGGCAGAACCTTGGCCTTGTGGTGGTGGTTCTTTTTCAACAAATCAGCAAACCCTCTTGGATAAAAGAGGTGCTTAAGAATGTTCCTGTAAGGAAAACAGGGCAGTGCTTTGGTTCTGGGAATGTTTTGCTGTGTTACTGAAGGAAGTCAGTAATTCTTTTGCAGCTCTGTATTACATTTTACACACTCTACCTCTGACACCACCCTTGAACCCGCACAGAAAATGTGAACTTAAGCTTTTTTTTTTTTTTTTTAACCTTTTCTAGGCAATAAACTATTTCCATCATGGACCCTTCAGTTCTCTGCTTGCTTTTAGATGAGTGTGAGACATTCACTTGGTTTATTTTAGTGCTGTTTTTCTGTATTTGTCTTAAACCCAGTCAATGGACAAGAAAATACCGAAGGTGAGATCTGAGGGAGGAAAGATCAGCAGATGTTGAGCGAGTGTTCAGCGAAAATGAATCAGTAGCAGGCTGAGGTTAAATGTAGATTTAGACCATGTTTGTAGTTAAGTTTCATCTTAAAAGAGTCCTTTTGATTTTCCCCCTCACATTTATCTCCCAGAAATAGAGGGGGAAGGTTGGAGGATGGAGGAGGGATGGGAGGGGATGAGGCACGAGGAGGCAGAAATGAAGGGCCTGGGGTTTAGGCAAGAAAATTGAAGTAAACTGAAAAATTTAAACTAAAGCTTTCACTTTAGCTGCAAATTCTGTGAATTACAGCTCAAAAAGTTATGGGCAAATCCACTGAGCTGTGTTGGGGAAAAATTGTCTTCTCCAATGGGAATTTTATAATTTCTGTGGTTATTTCTGGAATTACTGAGTGTATGTGGATACACTGATGCAGATTGATGATGTGCACAGATATACTGAACTTGATTATATTAACATCTACAAAGGTATTTTAACTTGAAATATTAATGTGATTCTTCTCAAATATATTTGATTTGCTCTTATTTTTATGTCTTACTCTATATGGATTACATAGTTCTGAAAATGAGTCAAATACATCCATAAAAATATGGTTTAATGTTTATCTCCTTTAAAATCAGTAACTTTTAGGCTTGGGAATTTATGAAAATGCCCATAATAATGACATTTTAAGTGAACTTGGCAAATAAAACAAACTGCTGTATTTATGAAGAGATAATGAATCTTCTGCCATGATAATTCTTGCTTTATTTTCACTTTAGGTGTCAGTTTGATTTAAACAAACAAACAAACAACAACAACAACAACAAACTATTCTGAAAGTTTAAATATTATTGTAAAACTTGGATGTTTTTCCTTAGCCTACAAAACAATTGATGATTCTAAACCTGTTATCATTTCTTTCTGGGCCAATTCCTTAAGCTTTGTGTATTCCTGAGTTTCTCTGTGAAAATCTCTATTTATATTGCATTTTTATGATTTGTATCAGTATGTGTAGCAAAGAAACTACTACAAACCTTCAACTGAAGTACCTCCACTATGGTCCAGGACCCCAGACCTGGGTGTTTGAGTGCTGGATGCCCAGAGAAAGGGTCCAGATGTTTGTATTGCTTTGGGTTCTGTGTAAATAAGGGTATTTATAACCTTGGATTCCCAGAGTCATCATGAGAAATGCTTCTTTCCTGCTTTAGGAGCCTGCTCAGCTATTTTTATATAAAACGTTGGTCTTCGCCTTAATTTTTTTTTTTTTGGTGAAAAGTTGTGCCATAGATATTTTAACTTATCCACAGATACTTTGCAGAGTTTGCTTTGACTTCTCTTTACTTCACTAATTTTTTTTCCTCCAGTTATTTGAATTTGTTTCCTCCTCCAAATGCATCTCAAGGTTGGTTTGCTTTCTTAATTTTGTTTGGTTTTTTGGTTTGTTTTTGTTTGGTTTTTTTTCAAGTTTTGGAGGATCCTTTCATCTGCATGCTTTGGTAGGTCGAGTTTTTCCTCTGTAGTTTATTGTTTATAGTTTAGACAAACCTTTTCTTGAACAAAAAGCCTGAAGTAATGCTTGTACAAATGTATTTAGGGTGGCCCAGATGGTCAGAGAAAAGGGCTATTTAGCGTTGGCAAATTTGTCTGCCAGACTCAAGGATATTTTTCTACGTCTGTCAAGTTTGGGACTATGGAGAAATGAAATAAAGGTGAACTAACTCCTTTTCCTATATGAACTTCTCTGTTTCTGTTGTTTTCGTGGCCTTGGAAATGTTCAGTTCTGTTGAGAGCAGCAACAGTGAAATCCCCGTCAGGGCTCAGGGCTGTCACGTTCCACGTCCACAGTTCTTTAGTTCCCACCAGAGAAATTAATGAGTTATTTGGGAAGAGGGTTTTCAGGATTATAAACAGAATTTTGTGCAGATCTGTCCTGGGGGACACTGAAATGTTCTGCCTTCCCATAAGAGGAATTGGTGTCTGAGGAAGGCAATGCACCCCCAGCACTGAGAGCTCAGGTGAATATATAATATATATAATACATAATGCTGAAGGGATTTGAGCTGGGTTTGGGGTGGGTTTTTTAAGCTGTTTTAAAGCTAAATGTGGGCTCTCTGTGCTGCTGTAACCACGAGACCGTTTCTTATCACTACCTTGAAAATCTCCGGAGCTCAATCCTGTGGCCTCTGCCCTCAGCCACGACCCCTGTGCTTTGACACAGGGATGCAAAGTGGGGAAATTGTGAGTGCTGATGGCTCTTGGCTTTTGGAGGAGCACTTTGGTGCTGAAAATAAGAGCCTGGGTGTCCTGGAGAGTTCCCAGCGTGGCCCCACGGCCAAGGGGTGGGATTTAAACTTCACTGAGGACCAGGAGTAGCGACAAAGAGCTGCGGGGGACCCCAAGGAAAGGGCTTTGGGGAGATGCTCAGGCACATCCCGGGATGGTGCCGGACAGGGATACACGAGCCATTCCCCGGTTTTCCAGGCTGCCTTTATTGGCAGAGGCTGGCAGAGGGCGGTGTGGCCGCATCCATCGGGATCCCACGGGCACGGGCTCCCTGGATCTGCCCTTGCACTGCGGGTTTGCACAAACCTGAGGAATAAAACTCCCGATGCTCTGACATCACCCAGAACTCGGCGCTCTGACCCCGTCCCGCTCCGGGATTACGGCTGCAGCGGGGGGGGAGCCTGGAAAAACAGAGGGAGAAACCCATGACTGGAGAGGAGTTAAAGCAGTGTGACCCCGAAGAGTTATTATCCACGGATAATGTTCACGTGCCCCCAACTTGGATGTTTTGGGAAAGCCCACCCCGAGCGGGGCGGCGGCTGCAGCTCCATTGCCACCTGGTGGATAAAAAAACCCACAGGGACTGAGGAAAAATGCCTTACAAACTGTCCCCACACTTCATATCTCGGAATCAGCAGCTATTTTTTATCTCAGCGGAAAATAAACGTAATATTAAAATAGATCTGGCCTTTAGTAACGAGGAGAATGGATGTGCAGCCATAAGCTGGGAGCACATTCCAGTTGGGGTTCCCCGCCGGGATTCAGGTTTGGGGGAACCCAAAGCTGCTCCATGAGATGAGGGGACATGTGACAAGCAGGGACAGCCGAGGTGGCCGCTCCATCTCCATGGTCCTGGTGCAGGGGCTGAGATAAAAGGGCCATAGGGGGGAAATGAAACAGAAAAAAAAAAAAAAAGGTGTTTTCTGGTTATTTATTTGTTCATGTTATTTTAGTGGGGAAGGAAGGCAGAGGAAAGGGAAGGAAATGTGAAAATTTTCACACTTTATCTATTATATTTTGTTGCTTTTCGGTTATTTCCCACTGGAAATCTGGAATAATCTTGGACTAGGTAGAATTTTGCACCAGAAAAATCTCATTTGATTTTTTTTTTTTTTTAAATTTTGGTGAAAGAAAAATTCTCCCCAGCCTCAAACTTCCTTTGACAGCCTCCTCCTCTTTTCTGTGAATTTTTCAATTAATGAACTGTCTTTCTTGGGAAGGTTTTGGGCACAGGGGAACCCACAGTGTGTTGTAGTGGTTGGGTTTCCAGCTGCTCCCAGAGCTCCCTCCTGGGAGGGACCGAGGGGTGGCAGCAAGGCCAGTGGGGGAGAAGGAAGTGAAGGCTCAGAGGGAAGGGAATTTCGATTGAATGAAGGAAAGGAAGGAGACAAAGAGCAAAGTGGACAGGTGAGCAAGGTGGTGAGAGGAGGTGGAGATCAAGGGAGGGGGAAGAAGAGCAAAACCCCCATGGAAGGGCTTGGAACGGAGGGGAACTGGAAGTGAATGACAGAGGTACAACCCCATCAAGGACAGATGGAGGCAGTACCAGGAGAGCAGCAACCACACCAGGAGGGCGCATTTTGGGAAAACCAAGTCCTTGGAATGGCACCTGGGAGCAGACACTCACCTGAGGAAGGTTAATGAGCGTGGGTTTAGTGTTCTGTTAACACTTCTCCTCTGGAACCGTTGCCAACCCACTGCAACCAAAGCCCCTTAGACCCTGAGTCCAATAATAGTAAGTAGATGCCTCACTGTGATCCAAACTATAAACAGATTTTATGAATTCTGCCAGAAATTTAATATTGAATTATTTCTTTATGCCCACATGTCTTTCCTGGTTTGCTTAATTCTGCCAAATATTTAGCTCAGCCATCTCTTCCCTCAGCAGCCCACACTCTCCTGGCTACATCAGCCCATTTTTGGACTATTATTTGAAATTTCAGTGTTTTCACCAGAGCCTGGCCAAAGAACCAAAGCTGTTCTGAGAGGAATGAAACAACTGAAAGTGTTCAGCTCTGTTTGGGGATGTTCACTCCTCATGTGGCACCTGGACAGCCAAGCAGAGGGTTTGACCCAACCCAGTAATGCTGACACAGACTCCCTGGTTTAGCCCTTTTTCTGGGGAAGAATTCCCCTGTAATGTGCCTTTCACCTCCCTGCTGAGCTCAGGGCCACGGCAAGAGAATGGACACATTTTTACATGTTCATTAAGACATGATTTCCTGAGCTTCCTTCCTCATATAAACCCCGAGTTCTTGGCTGAAAATGCCATTTATTGGTGCCACTAGGGGCTGGGAGTTCACTCAACACTTGCCATGATCTGTGTCCTCATTCCTCCTCAAGAACCAGGGTACACACAATGATTCCTCCCTGAACAACGGGTAGAAAACACCAAGAAAAGAAGCTTCGCTCAGAAATCAGCTAAAAACCACCCCAATTTTGTGCAAAGGTTCCCAGTGAAGAGTCACACCACCTTTGTACGTTCTGGTTCGTGTTGTTCCCCCCTTTTAAAGCAACTTTCAGTTGGAGAAGCCAAGGTGGCACATCAGCCCACCCGCTGCCTGCTCCGTGTCCTGATGTGTCCTACCATGTCCCAGCCCGGGGACAGGGACAGGGATGGGCACAGGGAGGGGTGGCATCACTGGCTGCTCGCTGCTCCCACGCTCAGGAGATGTGTTGATTCACTCTGTAATTGATTTGGGCAACTCGAGGCAATCGGTTTCCAAGATACCACATCCCTCAGATATTTAAAACCATAACTCTGGCAGTATATTATATTTAAATGTCGATGTATAATGTGTGTGTGTGTATATATATATATATGTACACACACAGATGGGGCTCTGTGTGAATCAGGGCAGGGTGTGTGGCTGGAGCTCTGTGGGGCTGGGCCAGAGGGGGCCCCTCTGGGTCCCCCCAAATCAATAACCCTGCTCAGCCTCAGAGGTTCTGTCAGCTCTGCTGGGGTTTCAGTGCAGCTCCAATTAACAGCCAAGTTATTAAAGAGTGATTCCAGGTTTTCCTTCACAGCCTGGGGGTGGTGGTGTGGTCCAGGCAGGTGAGGGACATTTTGTTTGCTGTTCCTGCTGTTCCTCGCTGTCAGCTCCTCACCTGCATGCTGGGTTTGTCTCTCGTAGGGATCGTTGCCTTCCAGGGGTGAACGTTGTCTTCTTGGATAAAGGAAATTGGAAATTTCCACAGAAGAGAGAGGAAACTCTGCTGTGATCCCCCTCTGGCTTTCCAACAAACAAAAAACCCCAAACCTGTAAATATTGGTTACACTGGGTGAATGTTATGAGACCTGGGGCTGCACACACATCTGGTGAGCTCGATTTTCAGTGCATGGAAAGAAAACTCGTGTAGATAGAAGAAGCCTTGAAGCAGCAGAGGAGGCAGGGATAATCCAGGAACTGGATGGGGACAGGAAGATGTGGGTCACCCTGTCCTGGATGGGCTCTGCTGAGCAGAAATGACAGGAAGTGCCCAAAGAAGCCAAATTTCACTTAAGAGTTGGACTTGATGATCCCTGCGAGTCCCTTCCAACTCATGATCCCCTGTAATTCTGAATTCCCAAACTCCCTTCTTTGGGCTTCAAGAGCAAGAGGAAACACCTAAATCCTGAGGCCTGGCATGAGCCAAACTTGGGCAGTGCTTTGTTTTGAGGCCAAGACAAGATGTAAAATACACTAAGAATGGAAATGAAACAAAGGTTGGGGTTTGTGTCCTCACAGGTTTGTCACCACCACGATGTGGGTTTAAAGTGGGGATCCAGGGTCACACAGGTGCTGATCAGTCACAGCTTGGTCTCAGTGATCTCCAGCCTAAATGATTCTGTGAAATCCTCCTTTCACCCATCCCCTGGGGGTAGGCAACAACAGGAGACCGTGGCAGGGGAGGGAACAGGACCACAACAGCCTGAAAGTGCAGGTGATAAAGGTTAAACTGAGAGACAAAGGGTAAACTGAGGAAGAAAGGTAAACTGGGAAAGCAAGGACAAGGCTGTGAGACAGGGTTGGGAATGCTCCAGGTGCCAGACACGGACAGAGATCCTGGGAGAGAGAGGGAGGGCAGCAGGAATGGGACCATCCCACAGCTACTGCTGTTGGGGTGCTGGGGGCCGATCCTGGCTGAGCACACCAGGAACAGGGTGGGAGCAGCAGCTGAGGGTGAGGATGTCATCCGGGGCCACTCTGACTGTGCCTGGCCCCAGTTCAGCAGGAACAGCTCCCGGGAAGGGCCTGGAGCGGGATGTGTGAGCAGGAGCTGCCTGTGGGTGGAGCAGTGGGCTGCGATGACGGTGGATTTTTGGCTCGATAAGGGAAAAAATAAAACCCAACCTTTTTTTGTTTGCTTCAATCCCCACTATGAGCTTAAGACTGTGGGCCTTTCATTGAAACGCTGCAGGGCTGAAACAGTGGGGGAAAAAAAAAGTGAAATCTGTGCACAAATTAAT